ATTTTGCACATTTTGTCAAATTTCTCGAATACGGACCATTTCAGGAAATTTTTACATAAAACAAAAATTATAGATAATAATATTAGAAGTAACTTTTATTTGAACAATTTTTTTCTCCAAACATTAATAACAGATATATTCCATAAAATATAAAAGTGGCCTCCCATAAAGTACCCCCCAGATGTTCCGACTGTGTCCAAAATCTAATCATTTCACGTCAGGCCGAAATAAACCTTAAGTTTAAAATTTAATGTTTTTTTCTTTATCCGTTTTTGAGTTTTCTTCAAAATTCGAAATTTACACATTTTCTCAAATATCTCGAATACGGTCCATTTTAGAGAAATTATGTATAGAATAAAAATTAAAGAGAACTATATTACAAACAACTTTTATTTGAACAATTTTTATAAAAAATTATTTTTTTTACATTTTGTCAAATTTCTCGAATACGGATCATTTTAGGAAAATTTTGCATAAAACAAAAATTATAGATAATTATATTAGAAGTAACTTTTATTTGAAGAATTTTCTTCTCCAAACGTAAATAACAGATATATTCCATAAAATATAAAAATGACCACCTATAAAGTACCCCCCCCCAGATGTTCCGACTCTGCCCAAAATCTAATCAGCTCATTGGACGCTGAAACAAAGCTTAAGTTTAAAATTTGGTGTTTTTCTGTGTATCGGTTCATGAGTTATGCGTTATACAGACACACACACACACACACACACACACACACACACACACACACACACACACACACACACACACACACACACACACACACACACACACACACACACACACACACACACACACACACACACACACACACACACACACACACACACACACACACACACACACACACACACACACACACACACACACACACACACACACACACACACACACACACACACACACACACACACACACACACACACACACACACACACACACACACACACACACACACACACACACACACACACACACACACACACACACACACACACACACACACACACACACACACACACACACACACACACACACACACACACACACACACACACACACACACACACACACACACACACACACACACACACACACACACACACACACACACACACACACACACACACACACACACACACACACACACACACACACACACACACACACACACACACACACACACACACACACACACACACACACACACACACACACACACACACACACACACACACACACACACACACACACACACACACACACACACACACACACACACACACACACACACACACACACACACACACACACACACACACACACACACACACACACACACACACACACACACACACACACACACACACACACACACACACACACACACACACACACACACACACACACACACACACACACACACACACACACACACACACACACACACACACACACACACACACACACACACACACACACACACACACACACACACACACACACACACACACACACACACACACACACACACACACACACACACACACACACACACACACACACACACACACACACACACACACACACACACACACACACACACACACACACACACACACACACACACACACACACACACACACACACACACACACACACACACACACACACACACACACACACACACACACACACACACACACACACACACACACACACACACACACACACACACACACACACACACACACACACACACACACACACACACACACACACACACACACACACACACACACACACACACACACACACACACACACACACACACACACACACACACACACACACACACACACACACACACACACACACACACACACACACACACACACACACACACACACACACACACACACACACACACACACACACACACACACACACACACACACACACACACACACACACACACACACACACACACACACACACACACACACACACACACACACACACACACACACACACACACACACACACACACACACACACACACACACACACACACACACACACACACACACACACACACACACACATCATCGCGAAAATAGTCAAAACGGATTCAGGGGACCTCAAAACGTAAAAATCCGTCGAAAACTCGAGGTCGAAAAAAATCATGATTCCTATACTTTCCTTATATCTGTATATATTCAGGGGACCTCAAAACGTAAAAATCCGTCGAAAACTCGAGGTCGAAAAAAATCATGATTCCTATACTTTCCTTATATCTGTATATAGATAGGAAAGTAAAAAATCTGATGTGTCCAACACATGACTTTCCTATCTAGTTATTGTAGGCGTCCACATACATCTACCTCGAAACATTTTTCTATAGATATTCATGGAAAACGAAAATACTGAAAAATTTAAATTTCCTACAATTTTTTCATTACGGTCCATTTTAGAAAAATCATGCATAAACAAAAATTATAGAGATCGATATCGTAAACAACTTTTATTTTAAAAACTTTCATAAAAATCAGAATTTTGCACATTTTGTCAAATTTCTCGAATACGGACCATTTCAGGAAATTTTTACAAAAAACAAAAATTGTAGATAATAATATTAGAAGTAACTTTTATTTGAACAATTTTTTTCTCCAAACATTAATAACAGATATATTCCATAAAATATAAAAGTGGCCTCCCATAAAGTACCCCCCCAGATGTTCCGACTATGTCCAAAATCTAATCATTTCACGTCAGGCCGAAATAAACATTAAGTTTAAAATTTAATGTTTTTTTCTTTATCCGTTTTTGAGTTTTCTTCAAAATTCGAAATTTACACATTTTCTCAAATATCTCGAATACGGTCCATTTTAGAGAAATTATGTATAGAATAAAAATTATAGAGAATTATATTACAAACAACTTTTATTTGAACAATTTTTATAAAAAAATATTTTTTTTACATTTTGTCAAATTTCTCGAATACGGACCATTTTAGGAAAATTTTGTATATAACAAAAATTATAGATAATTATATTAGAAGTAACTTTTATTTGAAGAATTTTCTTCTTCAAACGTAAATAACAGATATATTCCATAAAATATAAAAATGACCACCTATAAAGTACCCCCCCAGATGTTCCGACTCTGCCCAAAATCTAATCAGCTCATTGGACGCTGAAACAAAGCTTAAGTTTAAAATTTGGTGTTTTTCTGTGTATCGGTTCATGAGTTATGCGTTATACAGACACACACACACAGACACACACACACACACACACACACACACACACACACACACACACACACACACACACACACACACACACACACACACACACACACACACAGACATCATCGCGAAAATAGTCAAAACGGATTCAGGGGACCTCAAAACGTAAAAATCCGTCAAAAACTCGAGGTCGAAAAAATCATGATTCCTATACTTTCCTTATATCTGTATACAGATAGGAAAGTAAAAATGTGATCTATTAATAATTATAGTCTGTCAATTCCTGCTCTGTAATTGGGTTTATGACCTGTAGAGTATTGTATTATTATAAATAAATAAATAAATAAATAACAAGAAGTTTTATAATAAAAAAAATGAAAAATCCTACCATATCAATAATGTGATACATCAGCCCGCACGTAGAGAGAAACAGAGCTATGCTACGTTTGAAGGTGAAGAGAAAGATACACTGAGAGTCGATAAATTTGACGGTAAGAATTAATTACAGCATAAACCTATGACATCTCTCATCGTTTATTGTTATATCTTTGTTAATTCAAAAGCAAAAAATATAGTCTTTACTCTGTTACCTTCTCAACTCATAAGCAAAAATTTTATAAAGAATGTTTTTTTTTTCATTTAGGCCTTCGTTTTTTGTTAAATGAGTGGTATATTTAAAAAAGACGACTTTTTAACTAAATTTTTGAAGGGCTAAAACCAAGATATTTACGTTTATATTTTTTTTCGGTCGTAAGTGCTAATGAAAATGATTTTTTTTAAATAAGTATAAACAATTACTCCCTACAAAGATTTTATTGTGCATTTGACCAAAAAATTAGTATTTTTTCTCTATTCGGTGGTATCAATATCTGGATTTTTGATGATAGTGCCCTTCTGCACAGTCTAATTTTGTATTAACTCCGGAAAAAGGGTTACCTTATCATGACCTTTCATCTGTGAAAAATTCAGCTATGTGACAAAAGAGTGGGAGGTGAATCGTTTTCTTGAGCGAATATTTTAATACATACACTTTACTAACAATGACAACAGCGGATATTATACCCACAATAGGGAGTTTTAGCAAACAGCCGCTAACCATCCGCTAACGTTACCTTAGGGATAGACTGTAATCTACTCTGTTCAATGTTTATCAAAAAGGTCACAATCTAAGTTTAACGTAACGTTAGCGGAAATCTTACGTACATTTGCTAAAACTCTCTATTATATTGTGATTATACGCTACTGTGTCCCTTAGAATATGTCTTATTCACGGCCGCACGATATTTGTTAATAGTTACATCTCCTGGTTATCTCTGGTTTATTATTAGTACATATGTATTATGTATTACCAGTTAAATAGTAAAATAAATACATATAATGATAAATGAACTGTGGATTATTTCATTTACGTTGCGTTACGTGGCTTCCGTGTGGGTAGCTCGCTGTTTATTCCAAAATTAACAAAGTAGCTCAACACATTGAGAGGTTGGCGACCACTGGTTTAGATTATTGAATATTATGCTCATTGTTCTTTACTTGTATTTTATTTTATTTTTTAATAAATCCCTTGTTTCTGTTTTCAAAAATTATTTTTCCTATCTCTTTTATTTTATTTTCGAATTCAACCTGACTTGGTACAAGAGTTTCTTTGTGGAAAAAGAGTCAAAATAAATAAAACACCCTGTATAGTAACATTTAAAATTTTCGGTTTGTTTAAAATTGCAGCCAATTGCATTCGGATCGGGATCCGATCCCCGAAGTTCCAGCAGTTTATTTTTGCGCTCCCACAGAAGAAAATTTAGATAGAATAAGTCAGGATTTACAACGTGGCATCTACGATATATATCATCTTAATTTTATTTCTCCTATATCTCGACAAAAATTGGAAGATTTAGCGTCTGCCGCCATAGCTGCTAATTGTGTCACGAATATACATAAGGTAGGTATTTATCTAAACTATGTGTTGTGGTTTTTTTTTTGTACCTGAACATTTTGCTAAATAAAGATTAATGTTTGTTTTATTTTTTAGATATACGATCAGTATGTTAATTTTATTTCACTGGAAGATGATCTATTTGTTCTAAAACATCAAAATAGTGATATTATATCTTATTATAGTAAGTAATTTTATACAAAAATTAATCATCATCATATACCTAATTTATTTAATTAATTTTGGCATGTAATGCTGCAATAATATGCAACACACTCTCATTGTTTTATCTTTTTTATATACGAGCCCTAATAATAGTAATAACTGTGTGATTGGACAATGTAATATAAATAATAATATAAAATTGTAATATGCACGCCTCTGGGAATACTTTGCGATGTTATGTCTCTAGAATATTGAGAGCTTTAAATTTGTGCAACGATAACGCAATATTCTTTTTATTTTAGGTATAAATAAGGGAGACATCAAAGATACAGAAATGGAAAATATTATGAACAATATCGTTGAAAGTCTATTTTCAGTATTCGTCACTCTAGGTAAACCGTAAACAAATTATTCCGAATTGATAACATAATCATTTTTATTATGTAGGTAATGTGCCAATCATCAGAAGCCCTAAGGGCAACGCGGCTGAAATGGTAGCAAAAAAATTGAATAAAAAGTTAAGAGAAAATCTTTTCGACACTAGAAATAATTTGTTCATTTCCGACGCTCAATCGGCCAATTTTAATTTCCAAAGACCTCTATTGATAATTCTCGATAGAAATGTAGATATGGCGACGCCGTTGCATCACACTTGGACTTATCAGGCTTTGGCTCACGATTTGCTTGATTTGGCTTTGAATCGAGTCGTTATTGAAGAATCAATTCCAACAGGAGGTAATAATAATAATATTATATGATTCGTTTATCTTAATGCTTTAATTTTTGACATTTTGTATACAGGGTTGTTTCAGAATGAAATATACGTATGTTAACTGTAGGTGTGGAACACTGGGATGATTTAAAATTGTCCATTATTAATTGTTATTTCTTGGAGATGTCTTATATTTGATCATATCTACAATACCTATTTAGTAATATAAAATGAACAAAACTCGAAATATAAAATTAGTAAAATCAAAATTAAACTCAGTCAAAAATAAAATAAAAAGGTTCTTTTGCGCCCCTTACTATTTTTTTTACTAGCTTCGATCAATAGAACAATAATTGTTAATATCATCGACTAACACTAACTGATAAACATTTTATATCTTTATTATTTAAATGTTTTCTTGTAGTTCTTGGGTTTTAGGTGTTTGTTGAGGAAATGAAACTCTTAAAGTCAAGCTTTCGGCCCTGCTCAGGGCCTTCTTCAGTAGTTTTTTAATTTTTAAAAATATTTGTACATTATTGACATTATATCACTTCTGTCATCTAGATGTTAGATGAAGGCTTTGGGTTCTTCAGAAGTCGAAGGCTGAATAATTTTGGGTTTCGTTTCTTTTTTATATTATATATTTTATATTATATTATTAAACGAGCAATTTATGGTAGCCATTATTCACGCAGGATAATGGCTAAATTGCGAGTCTAATACTATACTTTATCCACGACCATTATGGTTTCTTTATTAAATAAAAGTTCATTTTTCGAATTACTGATTTTTAAATTTTTCCAATTTTTCGATTTTTTAATTTTTCAATTTTTCAAATTTTTCAATTTTTCAAATTTTTCAATTTTTCCATTTTTTCGGTTCTTAGAATTTCTGATTTTCCGATTTTTCAATTTTTCCAATTTTTTAATTTTTTAATTTTTCCAATTTTTCGATTTTCCGATTTTTCAATTTTTAAAATTTTTCCAATTGTTTCAATTTTTCGAATTTCAAATTTTTCCATTTTTTCGGTTCTTAGAATTTCTGATTTTCCGATTTTTAAATTTTTCCAATTTTTTAATTTTTTTAATTTTTCCAATTTTTCGATTTTCCGATTTTTCAATTTTTAAAATTTTTCCAATTGTTTCAATTTTTCGAATTTCTGATTTTCCGATTTTTCAATTTTTACAATTTTTCCAATTTTTCAATTTTTACAATTTTTACAATTTTACAATTTTTCAAATTTTTTCAATTTTTTCAATTTTTACAATTTTTTCAATTTTTTCAATTTTTCCAATTTTTCAATTATTTTTCCAATTTTTCGGTTCTTCGAATTTCTGATTTTTTAATTTTTCAATTTTTCCAATTTTTCCAATTTTTCCAATTTTTCCAATTTTTCCAATTTTTCCAATTTTTCGATTTTCCGATTTTTCAATTTTTCCAATTTTTCGGTTCTTCGATTTTTCGAATTTCTGATTTTCCGATTTTTCAATTTTTCAAATTTTTTCAATTTTTCCAATTTTTCAATTATTTTTCAATTTTTACAATTTTTACAATTTTTACAAGTTTTACAATTTTTCCAATTTTCCGATGTTTCAATTTTTCCAATTTTTCAATTTTCCACTTTTTCCAATTTTTTTAATTTTTCCAATTCTTCCAATTTTTTAAATTTTTCCATTTTTCAATTTTTCCAATTTTTAAATTTTTTACAATTTTTTAAATTTTTTCAATTTTTCAATTTTTACAATTTTTCAATCTTTACAATTATTCGATTTTCCGATTTTTCAATTTTTCCAATTTTTCGGTTCTTCAATTTTTCGAATTTCTGATTTTCCTATTTTTCAATTTTTCAAATTTTTTTAATTTTTTCAATTTTTACAATTTTTACAATTTTTACAATTTTTACAATTTTTACAATTTTTACAATTTTTTCAATTTTTACAATTTTTTCAATTTTTTCAATTTTTCCAATTTTTCAATTATTTTTCCAATTTTTCGGTTCTTCGAATTTCTGATTTTTAATTTTTCAATTTTTCCAATTTTTCCAATTTTTCCAATTTTTCCAATTTTTCCAATTTTTCGATTTTCCGATTTTTCAATTTTTCCAATTTTTCGGTTCTTCGATTTTTCGAATTTCTGATTTTCCGATTTTTCAATTTTTCAAATTTTTTCAATTTTTCCAATTTTTCAATTATTTTTCAATTTTTACAATTTTTACAAGTTTTACAATTTTTCCAATTTTCCGATGTTTCAATTTTTCCAATTTTTCAATTTTCCACTTTTTCCAATTTTTTTAATTTTTCCAATTCTTCCAATTTTTTAAATTTTTCCATTTTTCAATTTTTCCAATTTTTAAATTTTTTACAATTTTTTAAATTTTTTCAATTTTTCAATTTTTACAATTTTTCAATCTTTACAATTATTCGATTTTCCGATTTTTCAATTTTTCCAATTTTTCGGTTCTTCAATTTTTCGAATTTCTGATTTTCCTATTTTTCAATTTTTCAAATTTTTTTAATTTTTTCAATTTTTACAATTTTTACAATTTTTACAATTTTTACAATTTTTACAATTTTTTCAATTTTTACAATTTTTTCAATTTTTTCAATTTTTCCAATTTTTCAATTATTTTTCCAATTTTTCGGTTCTTCGAATTTCTGATTTTTAATTTTTCAATTTTTCCAATTTTTCCAATTTTTCGATTTTCCGATTTTTCAATTTTTCCAATTTTTCGGTTCTTCGATTTTTCGAATTTCTGATTTTCCGATTTTTCAATTTTTCAAATTTTTTCAATTTTTCCAATTTTTCAATTATTTTTCAATTTTTACAATTTTTACAAGTTTTACAATTTTTCCAATTTTCCGATGTTTCAATTTTTCCAATTTTTCAATTTTCCACTTTTTCCAATTTTTTTAATTTTTCCAATTCTTCCAATTTTTTAAATTTTTCCATTTTTCAATTTTTCCAATTTTTACAATTTTTAAATTTTTTACAATTTTTTAAATTTTTTCAATTTTTACAATTTTTCAATTTTTACAATTTTTCAATTTTTACAATTATTCGATTTTCCGATTTTTCAATTTTTCCAATTTTTCGGTTCTTCAATTTTTCGAATTTCTGATTTTCCTATTTTTCAATTTTTCAAATTTTTTTAATTTTTTCAATTTTTACAATTTTTACAATTTTTCCAATTTTTCGATTTTTCAATTTTTCGGTTCTTCGATTTTTCGAATTTCTGATTTTTTAATTTTTCAATTTTTCCAATTTTTCCAATTTTTCCAATTTTTCCAATTTTTCAATTTTTACAATTTTTACAATTTTTCGATGTTTCAATTTTTCCAATTTTTACAATTTTTCGATGTTTCAATTTTTCCAATTTTTTAATTTTTCCAATTTTTAAAATTTTTCCATTTTTCCAATTTTTCCAATTTTTCGATTTTCCGATTTTTCAATTTTTCCAATTTTTTCAATTATTTTTCAATTTTTACAATTTTTACAATTTTTACAATTTTTACAATTTTTACAATTTTTACAATTTTTACAATTTTTACAATTTTTACAATTTTTACAATTTTTACAATTTTTACAATTTTTCCAATTTTTCGATTTTCCGATGTTTCAATTTTTCCAATTTTTCAATTTTCCACTTTTTCCAATTTTTTTAATTTTTCCAATTTTTTAAATTTTTCCATTTTTCAATTTTTCCAATTTTTTCGATTTTTCAATTTTTCCAATTTTTCGGTTCTTCGATTTTTCGAATTTCTGATTTTCCTATTTTTCAATTTTTCAAATTTTTTCAATTTTTCCAATTTTTCAATTATTTTTCAATTTTTACAATTATTACAATTTTTACAATTTTTCGATTTTCCGATGTTTTAATTTTTCCAATTTTTCAATTTTCAAATTTTTCCAATTTTTCCATTTTTTTCCATTTTTTTCAATTTTCCAATTTTTCAAATTTTAATTTTTCGATCTAGAAAATATCGTTATGAAAAGTATCGCCCATCTTTAGGTATCTATCGGAATATGCCAGAATTACAAAAGCGTGAATTATCATAATTCACTCTAGTGATATATGGGGATAATTATTTCTACTTTGGTGACTATTTCGGTGACCATTTCGGGGGTTAAATTTACTTTTATTGTTAATATTGGAATTTTGAAAAAATTCATTTTGTTTTTGACTTAATATGAAATTTTCTTCTTCTAAAACATGAGATATTGCTCTTTTAAGTGAATCGGAATTTCTTAATCGTACTAAATCTTGTACACGGCCAGTTAAACCACGAATAAAAGTTTTTAAAGCTAATTCATCATAATTTTTAATTCTTTCTTCCGTAGTTAAATTCATTGAAATTAATTTTGTAGCAATGGCACTTCTGGATTGCTGAATAAGTTGTCCAAAATTTATAAAAGATTCATTTCTTAATGGCCTTAAAATAATTAATTCTTGAACCAAACAATCAAGGTTTCTCTGTTCTCCGAAACTAAGTCTTAAAAGATTTTTTAAACTATCCCAAACTCTTACTTCTGGTCTAGAACCTACTAATCTTAATGAATTACCAGATAATTTTCCAATTATTGCTCTTAATAAAAAACTATTTATTGGATCGTTCCTTTTTTGGATAATTAAACAATCACAATGTTCTAAAAATATCTCCAAGATTCCACTGTCTCCATCAAAAATTGGTATTGTCTATATGCATTTTCATTAAAGAGTGGTTAACACCACTAACAGGAACAACTGAATCTTGACTACCGTTACCCATTGTGTTTGTTTTTAGACTTAAATTACTAATTGTTTCTATTAATTTGTCAATTTTTGCAAATTTAATTTAAAGTTAAAAATCTCTTAAAATATTTAAAGTTTAAAACTTGGAATCATATATTCCATATGCATGCAAAAATTATAAATGTTTATTTTATTTTTCAAAATTACTTATCTCCTAAATTTCTTTTAAATATATTATATTTGTTAATAATTTAAAAGATAAAAATCATGGAATTCTATGTTCACTAGTTATCCACAACTGATTCCCTAATTTTACCAAAGATAAAAAATGTAAAAGGAAAAGAAAGGATTGGCTTACCACGTTCTTGGTTGAAGGTTCTGCTCCACGAAGAATTGAAATTCACGTCGTCTTAACTTTGTTCACAAGAAAAACGACTTTAAGCATCCTACTGACTGCGCCAGATAAATTTAAAGAATGGAAAAACAACTTTTTACAAAAAAATATTTTACTATACAAACGTTTTACTTTGCATCTATAGTTCATATAACTCACTACTTAATCGTAAAATAACAAAAAAAAGCTAAAACTTGGTTTAATTACTTTTATGAATTAAAATGCAGTTTCACTTAGTAACGAAGAAATTTTACACTGGATATCAGATAATAAATTGAGTTTTAATTTGATATGAAAAAAAACTTAAAAATCCGTGGTTTTCCGTCTGAAAACCATGATTTTGTAGGTGCGAAATAAATTCAATTAGAATTAAAAAATGTGCAATTCAATGTGAACCAACCTGGATATTAAAAATCTTCGTTATAGGCGCCAGGGCGAAAAGTCGTAGTTGCGAATTGGATTCTAGAGACAAATTTTGGTCGACCCATAAAGGAAGTCCGTTTCCCACGGTAGCAGAGGCTATTCAGGAGGAATTAGAGCAATACAAATCCTCGGAAGGGGAGGTTAAAAAGCTTAAAACCTCTATGGGTATCGACGGAGAGAACGACATCGCTTTAACCATGGTATCTGATAATACAGCAAAAATTACTTCAGCTGTTAATTCTTTGCCGCAACTGTTGGAAAAGAAACGTCTCATTGATATGCACACTTCGGTTGCTACTTGTAAGTATTTTCATACTTTTTATCATAAAATACTACACTAATTTATATCACCTTTACTTATACACTAATTGATATGTACAATATTCAACATTTTCTTGCAGCTCTTCTCAATTTCATTAAAATCAGAAAGCTCGACACGTTCTTCGAATTAGAAGAGAAGATCATGAGCAAAGCTCAAGCTTTGGAAAAACCTCTGCTGGATATTTTGACTGATCCAGCGGCTGGTACTGCTGACGATAAATTGAGATTGTTTATTATATTTTTCATTTGTATGTCGCATCTTTCCGAGCAGGATCTTCAGAAATACGAAACGGCTTTGACTGAGGCTGGGTGTGATCTTTCGCCGCTTGTATACATTAAAAGATGGAAGTGAGTTGTTTTTATTGTATATATTTTTGTCTGAGGGGTAAACCACTAAGTAAATTAAGAAATAATTAATTCCTGAGAAGGTTTTGCTCTCTGTTTATCTGCATTATCATTATTTTCGCATTGCTGTTGTGATTCATTACCGGGTTTTATTTTATCTTCTTTGTGTTTTTTAATATTTGAAGCTGGCTGTATAATTTGTGTTTTTTTCTGCAGGTTTACAGGTAGTCGTTGCCTAAAAATAAAAACTTTCGATGGGTTCTGCTAAAGATTCTCTTATTAAGCTACATTTAAAGATTATTTAAAGCCCTGTATTTTGTGACCAATTGAAGAAATTTTTTCTTGATGAATATTCAAAATATCTTTTTTCTTTTGCTGATTTCAAATGAAAATGTACCAGTATTTCGAGAGTGGTTTCCCCCTCGTGTTTGCCAATAGATGGTAGCATCGTAACATCTAATTTTTAACCTATTTTATCTTATTAATTATTTTGTTATTTAGGAGTTATAGTAAGATGGCGACTGGAGGTGTTATTAATCAATACGAAGGAGCTGGTACGAAGACTGTTAGTATGTTTTCGAAGTTAGTTTCTCAAGGATCTAATTTCGTAATGGAAGGTGTGAAAAATTTGGTTATTAAACGACATGTAAGTTAAATAGGATATTTTAGCTTGCTTAAGTTTATCTAAAAAAAAAAATGATTTTATTCGAATATTTATTTAATAGGATTTATTTTCTTTTTATTTTTATTATTACAATTATTTATTAATTTATATAGTGAAAAACGATTTTAAAGTTCAGGAAACTTATCGGTTATAGAATAAAAAACAAAGGAAATTCTTTGGAAATCTCTATTCGAAACATTACCAACGAAAATACTGAAAATAAAAATTCGAATTTTCCACTTTTTGTCAAATTTCTCGAATACGGACCATTTTAGGAAAATTAAGTATAAGACAAAAATTATAGAGAATAATATTACAAGCAACTTTTATCTGAAGAATTTTCTTCTCCAGGCGTAAATAACAGATATATTCAATAAATTAGAAAAACTGTCTCCTATAAAGTACCCACCCAGATGTTCCGACTATGCTCAAAATTTAATTATTTCGTCGCAGGATGGATTAAAGCTTAAATTTAAAATTTTGTGTTTTTCTTTTTATCCGTTTTTGAGTTTTCTTTAAAATTCGAATACGGACCATTTTAGAGAAATTATGTATAGAATGAAAATGATAGAAACTGACATCACATACAACTTTTATTTGAACAATTTTCTTGAAAATTCGAATTTTGCACTTTTTGTCAAATTTCTCGAATACGGACCATTTTAGGAAAATTATGTATAAGACAAAAATTATAGAGAATAATATTACAAGCAACTTTTATCTGAAGAATTTTCTTGTCCAAACGTAAATAACAGATATATTCCATAAATTAGAAAAACTTCCTCCTATAAAGTACCCACCCAGATGTTCCGACTGTGCTTAAAATTTAATAATTTCGTCGCAGGATGGATTAAAGCTTAAATTTAAAATTTTGTGTTTTTCTTTTTATCCGTTTTTGAGTTTTCTTTAAAATTCGAATTTTGCACTTTTTGTCAAATTTCTCGAATACGGACCATTTTAGAGAAATTATGTATAGAGTGAAAATGATAGAAAATGACATCACATACAACTTTTATTTGAACAATTTTCTTGAAAATTCGATTTTTGCACTTTTTGTCAAATTTCTCGAATACGGACCATTTCAGGAAAATTATGTATAAGACAAAAATTATAGAGAATAATATTATAAGCAACTTTTATTTGAAGAATTTTCTTGTCCAAACGTAAATAACAGATATATTCCATAAATTAGAAAAACTTCCTCCTATAAAGTACCCACCCAGATGTTCCGACTGTGCTTAAAATTTAATAATTTCGTCGCAGGATGGATTAAAGCTTAAATTTAAAATTTTGTGTTTTTCTTTTTATCCGTTTTTGAGTTTTCTTTAAAATTCGAATTTTGCACTTTTTGTCAAATTTCTCGAATACGGACCATTTTAGGAAAATTATGTATAAGACAAAAATTATAGAGAATAATATTACAAGCAACTTTTATCTGAAGAATTTTCTTCTCCAGGCGTAAATAACAGATATATTCAATAAATTAGAAAAACTGTCTCCTATAAAGTACCCACCCAGATGTTCCGACTATGCTCAAAATTTAATAATTTCGTCGCAGGATGGATTAAAGCTTAAATTTAAAATTTTGTGTTTTTCTCTTTATCCGTTTTTGAGTTTTCCAGAAAATTCGAATTTTGCACTTTTTGTCAAATTTCTCGAATACGGACCATTTCAGGAAAATTATGTATAAGACAAAAATTATAGAGAATAATATTACAAGCAACTTTTATTTGAAGAATTTTCTTGTCCAAACGTAAATAACAGATATATTCCATAAATTAGAAAAACTTCCTCCTATAAAGTACCCACCCAGATGCTCCGACTGTGCTTAAAATTTAATAATTTCGTCGCAGGATGGATTAAACCTTAAATTTAAAATTTTGTGTTTTTCTCTTTATCCGTTTTTGAGTTTTCTTTAAAATTCGATTTTTGCACTTTTTGTCAAATTTCTCGAATACGGACCATTTTAGGAAAATTATGTATAAGACAAAAATTATAGAGAATAATATTACAAGCAACTTTTATCTGAAGAATTTTCTTCTCCAGGCGTAAATAACAGATATATTCAATAAATTAGAAAAACTGTCTCCTATAAAGTACCCACCCAGATGTTCCGACTATGCTCAAAATTTAATAATTTCGTCGCAGGATGGATTAAAGCTTAAATTTAAAATTTTGTGTTTTTCTCTTTATCCGTTTTTGAGTTATCTTTAAAATTCGAATTTTGCACTTTTTGTGAAATTTCTCGAATACGGACCATTTTAGAGAAATTATGTACAGGATAAAAATGATAGAAAATGACATCACATACAACTTTTATTTGAACAATTTTCTTGAAAATTCGAATTTTGCACTTTTTGTCAAATTTCTCGAATACGGACCATTTCAGGAAAATTATGTATAAGACAAAAATTATAGAGAATAATATTACAAGTAACTTTTATTTGAAGAATTGCAATTACCTCCAGTATAGTTCTTTAAAGATGGCTTATAAACCCACGGTATCGCCTGACCATGGCAGGAGCATACAGGGTTGGGCATAATTGGCGGAACACCCGATTTGTGGCTCAATTATGGATTGTATTGAAAATTAACCCAAATAAAGTTTTTTGTATATTTTATGTACTATTTAATGACGCTTGGGGATTTTCATTATCTGTCATATTTATCAAGATATGACGTCATTGGATGAAATTTTAAATGAATCACCCTATATTTATATTTTTTTTCAGATAGATCTTTTCTTTCTGAATCCATTAATGTAAGGTTTGAGGGTCTCCGAGTTCATAACAAAATAGAAAGTAAACATTTATTTAATAAAAAATAATAATTATTATCAATCGAAGTATTACAAATCTCTCAAAGTAAGTGTTCGAAGTGAAAGCCTCCAACTGCCTGACAATATCCTAGTCTATCAACAAATGATCTTAAGGCATTTTGATAAACTTCAGGTGTTATTTCTTGAACAGCAATTCTTATTTTGTATTTCAATTCTTCCAGCGAATGTGGCAGGTCCTTATAAACTACTGATTTCAAATGGCCCCAAAGAAAAAAATCCAGTGGGGTTAAATCCGGTGACCGTGCCGGCCACTCAATATGTCCTCTTCGACCCACCCATCTCTGTGGAAATATTGTGTTCAGGTACTGCCTCACTCTAGCATCGAAATGAGGTGGAGCACCATCTTGCTGGAACCAAATTTCATCAGAAAGTTGTAAGTGATTTCTGTGATTTGGATATAAACGAACTAACTCTGGAACTATCTGCTCTTGAAGTAGTTGCAAATAACGATCACCGTTCAGAGTTCCTCTCATGAAGAATGGTCCAATAATTCTTCCATTAACTATACCAGCCCAAACATTTAACTTTTGTGGATATTGGGTGTGACCTTCTTCCATCCAGTGAGGATTATGATCAGACCAATACCGGCAATTATGTTTATTTACAAATCCATTGAGACAAAATGTTGATTCGTCGGAAAAAACAATGCTGTTCATCAACATATTATTTCCATTAATGGCATCCATCATTACCTGGCAGAATTGCATTCGCCTATCTGGGTCATCTTCATTCAGTTCCTGGTGTAATTGCACTTTATAGGGATGAAATTTATTGACTTTCAGAATCCTCCTTACAGATCTCTCGCTCATATTATTGTCTAACGCAAGCTTTGGAACTGAAGTTTTTGGTTCTTCCTGTACACTTAGAACCACATTAAGTGCATTTTCTTCATCAGTGGCTGTCTTCTTCCGTCCAGATCTGGGATTATTTTTCACACTTCCTGTTTCATTAAACTTGCTCAAATTTCTGGATACTGTAGATTTAGAAATCGGGGAAATCCTGTCAGGAAATGTTTCATTGAACAAATTACAAGCTTCTTGCAGAGATCTCTTTCTGTCTCCAAACCCAATAATCATCAATAGTGTAATTCTTTCACGTTCACTCAGTTCAACCATGGTTTAAATTAATAAAAATTCTCAATAGTATCAAATGCTAAGAGTTATTTATTTTCGCGTATTGGGCTAGTTTGGGTGAAATGAATTGACTTGCAATTAAACTCAACTTGTTTGATTGTCTCCATAAACCAGAATGAATTAAAATCTACAGATTAATAAAAGGTGACAATAGTTTTTATAATATTATAAAAACCAAGTAAACAGTAACACAAAAACATTGGTAGGTATTTCTGTCAGAGATGTACAATAATCGTATTAATAAAACTCAGTGATTAATATCGAGATGTCAATATTACATTTTAATGTCAAAAAGTGAAACCATGGCAAAACAATTGATATTGGTACATTATGATGGCACAGACAACTTTGTGAATAGTTATTCATTAATTATTTAAAAGAACGTTTACCATTTTGTTTTATTATTTTCTGATGATAAGGAAAATCAGAGACCACCCGAACCCCATATTGATGGATTCAGAAAGAAAAGATCTATCTGAAAAAAAATATAAATATAGGGTGATTCATTTAAAATTTCATCCGATGACGTCATATCTTGATAAATATGACAGATAATGAAAATCCCCAAGCGTCATTAAATAGTACATAAAATATACAAAAAACTTTATTTGGGTTAATTTTCAATACAATCCATAATTGAGCCACAAATCGGGTGTTCCGCCAATTATGCCCAACCCTGTATATTTCACTACATTTTAATTTATAATTTTAAAATTTTAATTTATTTCTCAAATGGGCTTGCCCATAAATAAATAAAAAAATATTTCATGTTATTTTAGAATCTTCCTGTAACGAAAATCGTTGATAACCTCATGGAGTTCAAAAATAGCACCGAGGTAGAAGAATACCATTATTTAGATCCGAAACAATTAAAATTGACAGAAATACCAAGAAATAGATCACCATTCCAAGAAGCCATAGTGTTCGTTGTAGGCGGCGGCAACTATATAGAATATCAAAATTTAGTAGACTATGCAAAGGTAGGCATTTATGGGTTTTAATTATTTATTTTTATATTTATATATAAACTGTTTTTAGGCGAAAACTACAGCAGGAAATACAAAACGAATATCATACGGATCGACGACGTTTAACAACGCTAAACAATTTTTAAAGCAACTCGCTTTGTTGGGACAAGAACTTTAACTTTGTTACTTCAAAAAAATGTATATAGGAAATTTCATTTAAAACATATATAAGTGACTAAAGTTATATTTTAGAATACCAAAATATCTTTCAAATGGCTAATATATGTTAATATAAAAAAAGTAAAAAGAATATTCCATTCAGTCTATTTTAAAATTTAATAAAGTTCCATGTTTCTTAATTAATTTGGAAGCTTGTATATTTTTTAGTTTTTGGGACAAGGATATTATTTATTTTCATAGTTTTCTATTAAGTTTATTTTTAGTCCATTGTATATATCTAGTGCAAAATTAAAAAAAATCAATGGACATCAATTTTTTGTGGCCATTAATTATGCTACTTTAATATTCAAACTAGTTTTGTCAACTTTACATAACAAAAGCACATAGAGGCCTTTTAAGCGACATTATTTAGTAATTAAGTTGTGTATTATTTGTTTTCTATTTTTAAGTAAAGTTCATGTTCTAAATACAATCTTTTATACAGGTAAATAATTTATTGTTATAAAAAATAAATATATACAAAAAACAAGTTTATAATTTATTTATAATGAAAATTATTTAATCCATAAGATCTTGCAGACATAATTATCCCATAGATCTTTTAATTTTCATTATGAAATTAACTTGAAAGGTACTTCTTCCCGTACGTTTGCACCTTTTTTTCAAATGCCAGTGATTTAATGGGAGTATCTTCTTCATAAAATGGATTCATGGAATGTTTGATGTAAGATTCGTAAATTTCGGAGAAGAAATTTTTAATTCCATCATCATTTCTGTTATCGTGCACGATTACAAACCTAATTAGGCTTGCAGTCACAAATGCAGATACAAACCATTGATTGAATTTGTCAACAGATTTTAAATTCATGGCGTGTGTTTTCCATTTATGTTCGTCTATTAGATCTAAAGCTGAATGAGCGATAAACTGATTTAAATGTCTGTGGTCTTCTTTCTAAAATAAAAATAATTGTGGCCCTATTTTTCTGACATAATTTTTCACTTTTTACCTTTGGATCTTTACTGTTCGTAAATTCCATTTCGAATAAAGGTTTATCGTTGTGGCCAACGATAACAAAGTAGTATGTACCGATCATTTTTGCATTATTTTTAATATTTCATTTTTGATAAACACACTTAACCTCAAATATTTAGTTTTGATCGTGTTGTGTTAGTTTGTCGTACGTCGTACACCAAATGTCATCGTCACCTAAAGCAAATTGCGTCAGAATACGACAGTGGCGGTGATATAGGAAGGCAAGTTGGATTAAAAAGTACATTAAGAAAATACAGCAGCGGATAAAGGTCTACAAAAACATACCACATATTCCTTAGACCAAAATAAGTCGATTTAAGTAAAATTACCTTAGTACAAAGTTGCTTCGTTTGGGCTCCAGAGGGCCTTGAAGTTACAATTTTTAAATCGTTTTTCCCATATAAATTTAAAACGGCATATGCGATTTTGCTGAAATTTGGTATATTGGTAGAGTTTTATGTGGCAAAAAAAATGGTATTAAAATTTTGTCCGATAATAATATATAGGCGTAGAACTTGATTTTTTAAATAATTGCACCTTTAAAAATTCTACGCCAATGGAAGAAAAGGAGTTTGAGTATGAAATTTAGATTGCGCAACTCATTTACTTTAAAAAAGGTACTCTTGATAAGACTGCGCTATATTGTTATCATCCTAATGTAATTTGGGACATGTACTTTATAACTTTTGTGGTGTTTTATTTTTCGATTTTTATTAAGTTTGTTTCATTTTTTTATATAGATACTGTTAGTTGAAAGACCTTTTAGACAGAATTGTATTTTGTGTTATACGAGATTGTACCCAGACAGCACACCAAATCCTTTGGATATCTACTGAACATCCCAATATCCACTGAATGTCCAGTCCATGGTGGATATCTATTTTATATCCATGAAATGTAATTTATAGACATTTATGTCCATAAATAATAGTAATTATATAACAAATTATTAAAAAATTACGCCATTGTGCTCGCCATTGTGGCTAATAGAACCGTTCAGATATTTAAAATTAGTTTTTTTAAGGTGTATTCAATATCCCATGGACATCCACTAAATATATCAAAGTTTAAGCGCGGACGCAAACCATCGTGGATATCCACTAGATTTAATTTTTGATTTTGCTTCCTAAGTATAGATGGCGATACCACTTTCGTATCTACTCATGCTCAACCCGCCGTAATTGAGTTCGATCGAAAATTTTTTTCAGAATCAACTTCATTAGAGACTGAAGTTGAGAATTCCTATTTATTGCTGAAGAATCCTAATAAGGAAAGGATGACATGACATTCTCGTTAGTGTGCCCTTAGTGGGCAAAATCAAAGGCAGATTGATGGAAATAGTTTTTATCTCTATTTTCTTTCGACGTTATTCAATACTCATTGGTTACTATGAACATCTACTAAAGATACTTATAAAATATTTTGCTAAATATCTAGGATATCCTGGGATATAGACGGACATTTGGTTGGATATCCACAAAATATATTCTGTGGATATCTCTGCGATTTCTTGTATTGTCTGGAACATACTCTAGATATTTTGCTGAATATCCATAGGATACCTTCTATATTCTTAATATAGACGGACATTTGGATATCCATATTAGATCCACGGAATATTTCTGATATCCTGTGGATATATTGGATATCCACAAAAGATATTCTGTAAATATCTCTGTGATTTGGTGTGTTGTTGGGGTACACGCCTGCAATAAACAAAGTGTTTTTATATTCTTTTAATTTTTTAATAGCAGATTTAATAAAAATAAGACCGATTCGACAAAACGACATAAATAGAAGTAATATATTTTGGTTCCCAATATTATATCATCTCTTTATAACACCAGTGGCCAGAGCCAGATTCACAGAAATAAATTTCAGTAAAAAAATCCCATGACCCTTGAAGGTACCCCCTTTGCGAAGTGATATGACCGTCACTGGAATACGCCGCATCATTCACATCTAAAAATGTTTCCTATACAGAGTTCTTGCATCGAACGCACCAGATGTTTGTTGATTTGACTTACACGATTTTAAAGGGTGTGGCAGAAGGTGTTTGTTTTTGTTTGTAGAAACTTTTTGACAGACGTCAGACGACTTTTGATTGGAGAAAAATGGAAATGATAGCGGAATTTACAGCATTTTCAAAATAGTTTGTGTTATGTTAGCCATGATTGATATTTCCGCTAGCTGCATTTGATATTATATTCTAATGTTTATTTTTCTTGTTATCCTTTAATATAATTGATTAAAATGAGTACTCAAGCGAAATTATACCAATGTCGATTATGCTTGACAAAAACGGCTACAAGAGTAAATATATTCGGAGGCGATTTTCCTAAAATGTTAGAAATATTAACTTCGATAAAGGTTAGCCAGAAATATTTAAATCTTGTTTTCATTAATAGTATTAATTATAGGTAAACGAGAACGATGGATTGCCGAAATTCAGTTGTACAAAGTGCGCTAAAGACGTTCAAATGGCTTTAACTATTAAAAAACGTATTATCAAAGCGCATAGAATTCTTTTAGACGCCTTAACTAGGAAAAAGTATTTATTGGAGAGAACGAAAAGATTCAATTCCGAAGTGTCGATTAAAAGAGTTCCTGCTGTAGCAAAAAGTGTTACACCTAAACCAGTACCAAAACCTATAACCAGGATTGTTCCGATAGAAATCCCTGTGAACTCAGAGCCTACGGAATATGCTGAAACAGAATCTTCGTCAAAGACGAAAAGTGTTATCCCTGCTAAGGTTAAACAAGAAAAAATGGACGAAGATCATGACGAGCCTTTCCAGGAATCGCAACCGATCGACGATGAGGAACTGCAAAAAATTATAAACGAAGTAGAAACGCAAGTTAAAAAAGTTGGTTTCACCTGCGAAACTTGTAATCTAACTTTCGCCGATAAATCGTCCTATAATTTGCACAGCATGAAGCATAAAAAGACAAAATGTCATGTATGTGGTAGACTCATAAGAACTGACAATTTTAAAAAGCATTTAATGTTGCATACAGCTGGGCCTTCTGTTTGCTCTCTGTGCGGGGCTACTTGCAAGAACATCGAAAGCTTAAGGTATTATTTTATTTAAAATTGCTAGTGTTAATTATACAGGTTTACAGGATAGGCCATTATTTAAATAAATATATTTATTATGGAAAGATCCATTAGTATATATAAATTACATAAAATAGCTTAAATACATTATAAAAGGTAGGTACAAATATCTTAACATTAAATACATGAGATGAAATATACCAAAGTTATTAAAAATATTCTCTTCACATTATTCTGGAATTGACTAATTGAACACACAGTGACATCTAAATTGTATTAATTAGCCAGTTTCATTTGGTAGGGGTGTATGATAAGCATAATTAGTGAGGTGAAGTTGAATTGCAAATAGACTATTATTCCTTGTAGTTATTGTGGGAACTCTAAATGCAATCATGGATAATAACTCATCAGAAGTAACAATACCAGCTATAATCTTATAGAGGAATGACAGATCCATGAAGATTCTTCGATTTACAAGGGTTGGGAGGTTTATTAAGTTCAGAATTGTGGAATAATTATATGTACCTGTTGCTAGACCAAGTTTAAAGGCACAATATCACAAATATTTTGGACATTTTCAATCCTTTTTACAGAGTTGTTGTAAAATGGACACCATATGGTAGATATGTACTCCAAAATCGACCTAACATATGCAACATAAACCATTCTACAAGCATCTAAAGATAGCGATCTAGAGTTTCTTATCAGCATACCTAACATTTTCATTGCTTTATTAACTATTTGATTAATATGATTATTAAAGGAAATATCTGAGCAAAATAAGATTCCCAGGTCTTTAATTTGTGTATTGTGTAGACCCTGAGGTATATAATTGTTTACCACAGGAATTTAAAAATAAGTTTCAGTTAAACCACTATATAATAGTTATAAGTTACAATGAGTTACAATAATAAATAAGTTGCAATAAAGTACAATAATGGAAACCAATTATATAATAACAAGCACCTAGGTGAGAACACCTGTATGTGCTGACAAAAATTAAAATTTAATTTTAATTATATTTAATGAATTATTATAAAGGATATAAATTTTTTTTTTTTTTTTTAAATAAAAAATAAAACTTGAATCAATTTATGCAAGAAACAGAAAAAAAACTATTTAAAAAAAATCCATGTATTAAGTCTCTTAGTCTTGGAATATTCTGATAAACTTTGCTTTATTTTGGAAAAATGTATATTTTGCTAACTTTATAGAATTTTTTATATTTGTTTAATAATTTTATATGAAGAGGTAGAGCGTTATAGAACTTTGTCCCTAGATAATTTAGACTGTTTATTAAAAACTCACTATTTGGTTTTGGTACTTTAATGCACATGTTTAATGCAGTTCTAGTGTTATGTTTATGTTCTAAAAAGTTTTTTAAAAATTCATTTTTTTGTATGTAACAACACACTGCATGAATATATAAACATCTATAATTTTTTCATTATATAAAGTTATGGAAGGATACAATCTATCTCTTTTATATATTAATTTCAAGATTTTATTTTGAATAACATTTAACTGATTTAATGTAGTTCCATACAGGCCTCCCCATACTAAGATTCCATACCGTAGTATAGATTCTACTAGACTGTAGTATAATGTTATTAGTAAATCCTGGTTGAGAAATTGTTTTAAAAGATAAAATTTATGTATATATTATATGGTAGTCCCATTTTAAGTGCTAGTCTATTATACCTAAATATTTGGATGTTTCTGTTTCCTGTATGTCTAAATTTTGACATGTTAAGCTTCTAAATTGAGGTCGATCAGCCACTGTCTTTAAAAAAGCAATGTAGTTTGTTTTGTTAACATTCAAAGACAATTTAAAAACATCCAGCCAGTTTTTGACATGTTCCATTCCAGTTATAGCACCTGTCTTAATGGCTTCCCAATCTTTATCACTGAAGACTAGCACTGTATCATCAACATATGATACAACTTTACCTTGAATATCAATCTGAGTTAAGCTTTTAAAGTATAAATTAAATAGTATAGGTCCGAGAACAGTGCCTTGAGGCACTCCGATTTGTATATTTTCAGGGTTACTCACATTGTCTCTCACCTTTACCTTCTGTTGTCTGTGTGTCAAATATTTTTCAAAAACCTTCAACATGATGCCCCTCACTCCATTCTGTTCAAGAACATTTAAGAGCTGATGTGGCACCGTGTCAAATGCTTTTCCTAGATCTAGAAATATAGCTATACACTTGTTACCAGTATTCTTTTCATCAGTAACATATGAAATCAATTCATGCATAGCATCTCCTGAATTAAGACTGTAGGTAAAGCCATATTGGTGCTTGGGAAGTAAGTCATTAGTTTTTAAAAAATCTGTCAGTCTATCTTTCACACATTTCTCAAATATTTTGGCCACATTAATAATTAAACTAATAAGCCTATAGTGAGTTATTAATTTTGGATTACCAGCTTTATAAATAGGTGTTATAATTGAAGTTTTAAATTGTTTAGGTACGATTCCTGTATTAAAAATAAAATTAATGCTTTTGCAGAATATGATCAAACTCTATAAAAAGACCAAAATGATCGCCGATATTTAAATCCACAACTGATTCCCGACAAGAGAAGGAAGAATTAGTCAGGAAGTAGTCAATTTTGGATTTAATAATGCGACCATTTTTGTCAATATATACTCTAGTGGGTTCCATATTTTGACAACACAAGTTAAAACTTTCAATAAAATCAGACAATAGTAATTTATCACGACAGTTAGTTATAAAATTAATATTAAAATCTCCACAAACTATTAAAATATCATTGGGATTTGAGATCTTACTTAAAACACTAGAAAGTTTGCTTAGAAACAATTCTACATCTCCATTAGGTGATTTGTAAACATTAAGTAAATAAAACTTTATATTATTCAAAATAAATGAAATGCCACTACATTCAAAATGTTCTTCTTCAGAGATATTTTTTAATGAATTGATTTTCTTGACTGGCAATGAATGTTTAACACATATAATAGTTCCTCCACGAATCTTAACAATCCTATAAAAATAGTCACCAATTATGTAGCCTCCAAAATTAATAGAAGAACCTGCATCTTCAGAACACCAGCATTCAGATACACAGAATATGTCTGGCTTATCACGGTTTAGGATTATTTCTATTCGGTTTGTTTTGTTAATAACGGACTGACTATTCACTACAATAATTTTTATTTTTAATTCGTTGAATTTCAAAAGAGCTGACGATATTTTCAATTTTACTATAGGAATATTATTTTTTGATTTGTTACTGGTACTTATATTTGACATTATATATTCTGAGTTTTTTCTTGACCTGACTGAAAAACCTCATAACAATTATTGTTTGTACCTTCATTAACTTTTGAAATATGAGTTGCACAAGATCTTTATCGCGAAAAGATAGTAGACCGTTTTTAGCAATAACTCTCGATGGTAAAAAGTAAGATTGGTGGAACTCACGAATAGCAGCCTGAAATTTAAGATCATACCCTTGGATTATTTTATTTAGGACGAAACGGCCACTTTGTAGAGGGGTACCACAGATAAACAGGTTAGCATTATTAGAGATTGGATACACGCGGAACTAATTGGTTGTCCTTTTAGAGCATTTTTTACTCCAGTAAAAAGTATAACAGCATCTTTGTTGGAACACTTTTTGATTAAGTTTTGATGTTTTTTAATACGATCTTCAAATAATATTCCTTTCGACCATTGACAGTTATTTCTTTTGCGAAATTAACTTAGTAATTGATATTAGATCTCTTGCGTTTTTGTCACCTATTATTAATTGCGGTTTGCGAGCGTCTGTTGGTGTCGTGGTATCTGATGCTATTTTAGACACATTATTAACGGTTTGAAAAGGAATATTAATTGTAGACTTCGATTCAAGATCTACTACTCGTTCCAAAACGTAAAGTTTTTGACTCAGTTTTTTATGTCTGTAGAATATAGTAGGTTTTCTTATAATGACTGAATATATCTAACCATTTGTTTATTTATTGTCAATAAGTCGGTGAATTCTTCTTTCGTTTTTATTATGGATGCAGATCCTGTATTATCGGATTTTTTATTAATGAGTCAATCGTCTCTGAGTTAATGTTAACTGATATTTTTGCAGGATCGCCAAAATCACTATCACTTGTATTAACTTCGTCAGTGTCATTCTCATTGTTTTAATTTTCATTAGCGGTGAGCAAAGAATCTAAAAACAAAATATGCGCTTGCTTTTGCAAGCTCGCCGACGCCAGGGATCAAAATCGGGGATACACATGCAGAGTGCAGTGTTCAGTAGCGTCCGTCGGTCGGTCTATCTTAAATCGCGATAAAAACTGACATCAGCGGATCGTGCCGTGCCGCGGCCAGATTTAGTATAAATAATGATAATTATTATAATAATTATTATTTTTGTTATTATTACATGGTCAACGTATTATAGTAAATAGATGTTGTATACCGTTTTACTTTTTTTTGAGAGTAAAGGGTCCCCGCAAGTCGAGGGCCCCTAGGCTATAGCTTATCTAGCCTATTGGATAATCAGGCCCTGGGGCGTCAAGAACAACTAGCTGCAAACAACTTTTTTATGAATTTAAAATCCTAACACTTCCATCTTTGTATATATACTTACTAATACTTAATATAAAAAAACGGGAATCCCAACTATTAGATTATATACACTCATACAATAATTATAACACACGCAATTACAAATATCTACAGCAGTCTTTCTCTAGACCAGTGGTCGCCAACCTGTCGATCGCGAGCTACCGGTAGCTCGCGGAGGCAATTCTTGTAGCACTCACAACAATTTTAATTTAAAAAATACAAACTGCAAAAATCAGAGAAGCTTCCGAAAATTCCACGAAAAAATCTAATTGTCATAATATTAAACATAAACAGCGGCAACGTTGCGGTGAGCGATCTGCCGCTGACGCCATCAAGCTAGAATTGGTTAGAACCGACCAGCAGGACCAGCGCGTTAGTGTTCGAGAACAATCAGGATTGCTTTGAACGGGATAAATACGCACGGTGCGGCGACATTGCGCTTAGTTTAAAACTGAACGCGTAACCAACGTCCAGCGGTTGGGTTAGTAGAGAACAACAAAAAATAATATTATGGCAAGCAGTTGTAAGAAGGTAAAGACATTCCACTTTCATTCGGAATGGGAAGAACAATACTTTTTTACAGAAGTTAAAGATAAAAATGTGTGTTTGTTATGTAATACTTCGGTCTCCGTTGCTAAAAAAGGAAATATTGAGAGACATCATAAAACTGTACATTTTAATTTTGAAAAATCATTCCCACTACATTCTGCCGCCAGAAAGGAGAAACTGAAACAGTTAAAAAAGCAGTTAATTGGACAACAATCAATATTTTTAAGAACAGTCGACAAAAATAAGGCTGCAACTGAAGCATTGTACCGTGTGTCCCAGATAATTGCACAAAAAAAGAAACCTTATGAAGACGGGGAAATGATAAAACAGGCGGTTTTAGAAGCTGCTGATTCGTTATTTGCTAACTTTAGAAATAAAGACGAGATAGTTTCAGCTATAAAATCTATGCAACTTTCTGCTAATACAGTGATGAGACGTGTAGAAGTAATGAGCAATGATATTTTTTTACAGTTAAGAACTGACTTAGATAACTGTGTTTATTTTTCACTTCAACTGGATGAATCAACAGATGTCGTTGACACTGCCCAGATGGCCGTGTTCGTCAGGATGGTTTTTAGTGATTTTACGATTAAAGAAGATCTTTTGAATTAAGTGTAAAGGTTAAAGAAAAGGTCCTTTATTTCTCACAAGTCAATTTATTGGCGACCGGTTTCGAAGTTGTCACTTCATCATCAGGCACACCTTGACTAATTCCATAAAGGAATTAGTCAAAGTGTGCCTGATGATGAAGTGACAACTTCGAAACCGGTCGCCAATAAATTGACTTGTGAGAAATAAAGGACCTTTTCTTTAACCTTTACACTTAATCCCTACTACTCACATATGGCTACCCTCACTCCAGATCTTTTGAAGTTTATTCCACTGAAAGGACACACTACTGGACAGGAGTTGTTTTCTCATTTAAAAAATATTATTTCTTCCGAGAAAATTCCAATATCGAAAATGGTAGGCTTGACAATCGATGGCGCTCCAGCTATGGTGGGTTGTGATAAGGGTCTGGTGGCGTTATGTCGTAAAGATGAAACTTTTCCGCAATTTCTCTGTTGCCACTGCATTATCCATCAGCAAGCATTATGTGGAAATTTCCTGAAACTAAACAACGTTATGAAACTGGTGGTAAAAATTGCGAACAAGATTAGAGCTCAAGCGTTACAAAGTAGATTATTCAAAACCTTGGCTGATGAAGTTGACTGTCAATACGGGTACCTACTCCTTCACTCTGAAGTCCGATGGTTAAGTAGAGGACGGGTGCTGAAACGTTTTAATGATGTCCTATCTGGCATAGTTCAATTTTTCAATTAACGCTATGAACCGACTCCGGAACTAGAAAATTCAATCTGGCTTAGAGATTTTGGTTTTCTCGTGGACATTACAGAGAAATTAAACGAACTTAATTTGCAGCTTCAGGGTAGAGACAAAGAACTAGCAGAAATGATTTCTGATATAAAAGCATTTATCAAAAAGCTGGAGTTTTGGGAACAAAACTAATTAACAGCGATGCCAAGCATTTTCCTATTCTTTCAGAAAAAATATCTCAAAATCCATTAGAACCCTACGATAGCAAATATCATGTAGAAATAGTTTCTACCCTGAAGAATAACTTCAAAAATCGTTTTAAGGATTTCAACGAAATGGCTTTAGTAGCGCAGTTTGTTGTTTTACCCTTTATGGAAATTGATATCCAACAGTTTGCAACTTGTGTTATGCAGAACTTTGGCGAAGACATCGCTGCAACAGAAATGGAAGTAATTGAGTTCAAAAATGATTTAGCCTTAAAATCGTTAGTCTCAAGTACCAAATGTATCTGGCCTATTGTAAGTAAACACAAATATTCAGTTCTATGCCGTGTTGCCTTGAAAGTGAAAGCATTATTCAGTTTAACCTCTTTGTGTGAATCTTCTTTTTCCAATATGAAGTTTATCAAGAACAAATATCGCAATCGACTTACAGATGAACATTTGGATAATTGTATTCGAAGGGCTGTATCAAATTATAATGCAAACATTAAAAAAATTATTGATGAGTCTGAGTGTCAGCCTTCTCATTGAACGTGCTTTTTTATTTTTCAATGTTTATGTTCATGATAGTGCGTTACTTTTTTATTGTTATTATTAACTATTTTTAAATCTTACGTGACATGCCGTTGTGGCTGGATAAAAGTTTGTGTTTATTTTTCAAACACCTTCGTTTGGTAGGTAGGAATGTAGCTATGAACAAGTATGTACTAGTAATATTAGTTATTTCGTTATTAGTTTATTATTAGTACCTATGTATTATGTATTACCAGTTAAATAGTAAAATAAATACATATAATGATAAATTAACTGTGGATTATTTCATTTACGTTGCGTTACGTGGCTTCTGTTCGGGTAGCTCGCTGTTTATTCCAAAATTAACAAAGTAGCTCAACACATTGAGAGGTTGGCGACCACTGCTCTAGACTCTCAGTTGGACAGAATTCCGAAATCTAGAGAGGTGTTGCATGTTTTAATAGATATACTCAAGTCAATGGTAATGAAAAAAATGTATTAAAAAATAAGCTTTGCGCATATCTTTCGTCCAAAACATATTCCTATGCAGAATTTATGAATGATACTTGGTGATCCGTAATGTTATCTCTTTATTATAATTATTGTTTAATGTTTTTGTCCTATTGTATACTATTTTTAATTTGTACTTTATTTTAAACTCAATTGTAGCATGTCTCTTAAAATTGTATGTGTTGACAAGGCTAATAGGTCTTATATGTTCATACATTTTTTAACCTTTTTAAAATATTGTAAATATATATGTCTCAAAGCCGAATAAATATTATTATTATTCTATTTTAGGGGCCACATCTTCTACCAACACAAAAACACGGCCGAGCAATACATATGCGAAGAGTGCGGCAAAAGCTTTCGAATCAAATACAAATTCATTTTACACAAGAAAAAGGAACATTTAGGCGTCCGAAACTTCAAATGCGACATATGCGGCAAAGGTTTCTTCACAAACGGCGATTTAATATCGCATAAAAAGATGACGCACGAAAAATTGAGGCCGCACGTCTGCGAGTATTGCGGCACCGGGTTTTCCTCCTCCTATGCCTTGAAGACGCATAAAAGACAACACACGAACGAGAAACCGTTTGTATGCGAATTCTGTACCGAAGGATTTCGGCAAAGAGTGTCGCTGAAGTCTCATTTGAAATCCAAACACGGTATCGAAGAAGCTAAAGAATGGTTTTGTAAGATATGCGATAAAGGCTTCGCTACTAACTACGCCCTTAGCATACACGAACGACTACACGAGGTGCAGAAGTGCGAAGTGTGTTCAGAAACGTTCGGTAGTTCAGATTTCTTAGTAAATCATATGTACGACGTCCACGGTATCAGAAACGAGCCCAAACTGAAATGCGACGTTTGTTTAGAGGAATTCGATAGTTTAGATCTACTGACGAATCACACGTGGGATATACACAATGTTAAAAAAGAAGCGGATGCGACTACGTAGAGTTTGTATTCTAATTTATTTAATTTAAACTGTATTTAGTGATAAATATATATTCTTTTTGTACTTTATTTTGTTTGATGGAAGTTAGATGCATTAAATCAAAATTAGTAAAAATTATTTTCGAAAAAGTGAAGGGTCTTTTTTTTTAACGAAACTTACCCAGACAACACACCAAATCCCAGAGATATCCGCAGAATATCTTTTGTGGATATATAGAAGATATCCTAATGGATATTCAGCAAAATATCTAATGGGTATCTTCCAGAAAATACAAGAAATCACAGAGATATCCACAGAATATATTTTGTGGATATTCAATATATCCAATATGGATATCCAACCAAATGTCCGTCTATATACCAGGATATAGAAGATATTCGGATATTCAGCAAAATATTTTATGGGTATCTTTAGTAGAGGTTCATAAGTAACCAATGATTATTGAATTACGTCGAAAGAAAATAGCAGAGATAATAGTATATTATGCGACTGCTTTCTATTACATAAACAAACACAAATCGAATAAAATATTTATTTTATTAACTGGAATAGATTACACTGCAAATAAATTGTGGATAAATAAACTCGATTGAAACTGAAAAACTGGTCAAGCCATATCCCAACCTATTTATAAAAATTAAACGTACAATTATTAAAAACCATTTTTGGGGAGGTAGTGATATTATGTTCAATATTTACATTTTCTTGAATTTGGCAATTTTCTGCAGTTGTAGTAGATGTGTTTCCCGTTTCTGAAGTTATATTTTTTATCTTATTAGAAATTATGTTGGCTATATCAATCTTATTTGTTAAGGATTCATCTATATAGCTTTCAGCAACAGCTGTAGACTTCCAGCCACCATGACGCTTTAACGTGGTTATGTCACCACCAGCATCAACTAAAATTGTTGCCGAAGAACGGCGGAAGCAGTGACCTGTATATAACTCAGGATTTGGCAATTTCAAATACTTGGCAATACCTTTTCCCATTGCCCCAATTTTATTTAACCCTATTCTTTGAACGGTGCATTTACCTTTTTGGTAATTTATAAAAAACCAGGGATCATTGACATGAGGAGGACGAAGGTCGGCATATTTTTTAAAAATTTTATAATATTGACCAATTATAGTGAACTTTCGAACAATTTTGGTTTTAGTGTCTGGTACCGTCACCAAAACTGCTTCATTCAAATCATTAAAATTGAAATTTTCATCTGATGTAATTCATGTCGTCTGCATGCACCCATAATGCGCTAGTTCAGTGTGATGTCATTTTGGTTCCACTGACATTTAATTCTAACCAAACTTTTAACAAAACCATCAATAAATTTGACATATACGTTTTTACTGTTTTTATTTTATTTCAATATATTGTTTACAGGTCATAAAAAATAGTTTAAAGGTATGTAATTGGTAACTAAACGATTGTATATTTGATACATGCTATCTACTTACTTTAGGAATATATTTATAAAAGTGAAACAAGTATTACAAATTAAAAATAACCGACTTCAAAAACGTGCAGATGCCACATCTTAACCAAATTTATATGGGACCACCCCTGAGGTACCCCCTTACTAACAAAAAAAGAATCGTATAAATCGGACAAGGTGGTAAAGCATTATCGCTAAACATACATAAAAAAGGAGGAGTTTGAGGATTTTCTCATGGATCCAATTATTAGATTTTGACAAAATTTATAAGGGACCACCCCTACAGTAGCCCCTTTCTAACAAAAAAAGAATTATTGAAATCGGACACCGTGTTAAAAAAATTATCGCTGAACATACATAAAAAATGAAGAGTTTGAGGATTTTCTCATGGACCCAATTATTAGATTTTAACTAAATTTATATGGGACCACCCCTGAAATACCCCCTTTCTAACAAAAAAAGAATCATTGAAATCGGTCACCGTGTTAAAGAATAATCGCTGAACATACATAAAAAAAAAATATCGACGAATTGATAACCTCCTCCTTTTTTGAAGTCGGTTAAAAAACTATATAATTTAGGTAAACAAAACGAACAAAACGCACTCAAAAAATCTACTGTCACTTTAATTGTCAGTGGAACCATAATTACATCATCACTGAACTAGCGCATTAACGCAACCTACAATAAAAATTCACAAATTGAAAATACTTTGCATTACACAAATATAAAAAATAACGTATTTTAAATATAAATAACCTACTTTTGTTACTAAATATATCTCATCGGGAGCTTCTTTTATAAATTTTTCGATATCATTTAGCGTAAAAGTCTTCGACTTTTTCGGTTTGTATCCGTCTGACTGCCGCTTGAGAAATGCTTTCAATTTCAAATATTTGCTAATATCTATATTATTATTATTAATGCTGATAGTCGTTCTTAACATCGTAGAACTTTTCATTTTTTTTTCGCCAATTCGGCAAAATAAGCCACTAAACCGTTCTTTGAAAATGAGTTTGCGTTCTCACCTTTTTTCCAATTCATGAAGAGGGCATAAGATCGTTGATATAATTTTTTTGATGTTGGTGGCAACAAATTTAAAGTTGTTACTTTTGCAGCTTCCTTTATGTTTGGAGGTGTTAATTCTATATCACTATCACTGTCCATTTTATTAATTTATTTCATAAAAAAAGAATTATCGTAAGTTCTGTCAATATTAATTATACTGACAGTAACGTCAAAATGATATTATAGCCGCCTTAGTTTTTGATCTACTAAATTAAAATTATTTCATTTCGCACGCGTTGCTGGGCAACCCGTGCAATATGAAATGTTGAGTAAAATGTGTATGATATAAGTTCCAATAGCCGAATCAAAATGATGATTTATCATTGCAGCCGTAGAAAAAAAATATTTTCAACACTCTGCCTTTGATTTTGCCCACTAAGGAGAAAGTCATCCTTATTAGGACTCTTCAGCAATAAATGAAAATTCTCGACTCCAGTCTCTAATGGAGTAATTAGGACCCACATTTCGATCGAACTCAATTACGGCGGGTCGAGCATGAGTAGATGCGATAGTGGTATCGCCATCTATACTTAGTAAGCAGAATCAAATAACATCTAGTGGATATCCACGATGGTTTGCGTTCGCGCCTAGACTTTGATATATTTAGTGGATGTTCATGGGATATTGAATACACCTTAAAAAAATTAATTTTAAATATCTGAACGGTACTATTAGCCACAATGGCGTAAAATTTGCTATATAATTACTATTATTTATGGACATTTGCATGTCTATAAATTACATATCATGGAAATAAAATAGATATCCACCACGGACTGGACATTCAGTGGATATTGGGATGTTCAGTAGATATCCAAAGGATTTGGTGTGCTGTCTGGGTACAGGAGTATTGTTGACATATTTAATTGTTAAGTTTAGCTCACGTCTCAATAACTCGCTTCTGATAGTGTCCAGAGTTTTCCTTTGGTTAGAAGTTTGGCCCAGATGTATAAAAATCTTTTTATCGCGGCCGATATTGTATTTGTTTTTGATAATGGCGTGTACGTCACGAGTTGATTTCAACACAACTTTAAGGAGTCGATGTCGGTGATATTAGCACCAGCAGCCTTTGTTATTTGAGTTTTGACTTGATTAAGATCATCAGACATTGTTTGGCTCAGCTAGGTTAAAGATTAGCAAGTTGTTGATTCTCTTTTGACGTTCGGTAATAATGTCCTCATTAATCATCGGGATGTCGTTCTTTCTATCTTTGAGCTTTTTGACTTCATCTTTCAATGAATTTACTTCTGATCTAAGACTATCAGTTTGTCTCAATAGTGTGGGTACACTTTTAAATGTCTGGCGACAATCCCCACAAAAATAAACTTAGAATTATTTTTTGTAAAACAAGCTTTGAACAAATCAGTAAAATTTTGCTGTGAGCTACCAGACTATTTGTAATTAAGTCTTATTATTGATAGTCGTTAAAATTTTGCTGTAAGCTGCCAGACTATTAGTAAATGAATAAAAGTGGATATTTGTTATCAGGAACAGGTTTTTGTGGATAGTTTTTGCTTCTTATAATTGATAGATACATGCAGAGAATTAATTAACTAATACTAATAGTTGCATTTTCTATAGACGTTTGGCAATGGCAAATTTATGACAGGCTTGTAGAAAAACTTACCAAGATTTTACCCAGTCAAAAAACGACACAGTACCTTTTAGAATTAATATTTCAATTGATGAATGAAACAGATAGTAGAGTATCTGTTTACCTGATTTAAATATAATTATCCAGTTATAACATCACATACAAGGGTTTACATAAAGTAAAAAAGATTAGATTCAAATTAAATAAAAACCATTATTTCAAATATTTATTCATATAGAAGTCAACAAAGTTAATTTTTCATTCAATTGCAATTGTGTTTTAACAAGTTGTGATAAAGTAATAACCATAAGAAGATCCTTAACGTTACTATTAAACATTTCTGAAAACTGCTCATTAGTCATATGTGGAACAGAGTTAACAAGATCGAGAAGAGATCTGCCTACTGCATTATTAGGACCCACTCTGTTAGCCAAAACATCCTCAACATATCCAAGTACCTGGTCTAACATAACACTCATTTTGCTACCAGCTTCAGCTACTTGGTTTAAATCAAGCATGGGATTCACATTTCTGGTTCTTGCTGAACCAGCACTCATGGTTTTCTGGCACAATTGGAGCCCGAAAACTTCTGGATCGTAGCACACAACATCTATCGGTATTGAAGTGAACATACAACCCTGTTTGCCATTTGGAACTCCTAAAGGCACGCAAACATATGCTTTCAATCCCATTCGACCACCTTGAAGGCTGGTATCCAACGTTATATGTACAGGGTTGTTACATTCTCTGGAATAATACTCGTGGATTACAGCACTGTGATTAGTGACTTCGTGTCCCGTAGCCCACCATCCAACAATCGCTTCACTTGAGTTTACCCTCTTGTTTAGGTCGTACACATCCATAGCGTAGGATAACTCGGCTTCAACTTGATCGCAGTACTCTTTATGCGGTACGCAGAAACAGTTTGTTACTTCTATGATTCCTTTATCTGAAGTTCCTGTAATTAAGAAATATAATTAATGAAAAGGGTGACATTTTGAGGTTAGGTCTGAATAAAAGTTCAAATTAGGAATAATTTCAAATGCTTACCGAGAAGAGTACCGATAACTCTATGGGAATCTGCATTCCTTCTTTCGTATGCATCAACAATTTGAAATAAAACCACCGGGTGGACTTTCACTTGCAAGTTTAGTGCCATGTTGATAATTAACGAAAGAACAAACAGCGCTGGCGCAGAAATGAAAATATGTCAAACGTCAGAGTAGCCAACATTGCGGCGTTAGATGTTTCTAAGGACCGTTCAAATACCGGAATTTCTGTATTTTATTTCTCAATTTATAAATCGAAATACTTAATGATTCGAGATAATTCCTTCACTAACGAGTTTTGTGAGGAATGAGGTTTTATCCTGTATGCTATATAATAGATAAAACCAAGAAATTTTATGTAAATTTCGTGGAATCATGATCGGGTTTTGCTGTTCATGGCTTCTACCAAAATGGTTTCGCGGCGAGTCGTTAGAGGTGAATATGCGTTGTTTTGGTATATCTATATCCGCAATGCAGGCGTGCCTGTATATTACGAGTTAAAAGTGAGTGCGGCCGAGATATTTCTGGAAAAAACATAGCTCAACAACAAGGTGTGTACTGTTGGATTTTTTAAAAATGTCTCCATGTCCCCTCCCCCGCCTGCTTCAAATCAAACTCGTTTGTTTATTGATGGTACCCTCTATCATCATGTGAAATTAGTAATTAATATGTCTGAATAAACACTCAAGCATATTTAACTGTAATTTTGCTTGTTTCGTATTAAAGGTGACCTTGATTAAATATTAAATTATTTTAAGTCATGATAGTTCTAAATTTGTAGCTCTTGGATTTGATATTTTGCGAATTTTTGACTGGAAGGGTCATGAACCTGTGCGTGTATTTACCAATCGAATTTGTTTAATAAATACGGTTTTTAGGAGGAAAGTTGCGGTTGCCGAAATGGAAAATACCAGCAGTGAAGATAGTTCATCAGATTACAGCACTGAAAGTTCTGAAGATGATGGTATGGAAATAGCTCAAATAGGTAATAATAAACTTCAATTACCCCAGGGATTATGCGAGAGACAAGACATATTTAAGGAAATACTTTCAACTGAGACCTGGAACTCACTTTCTGAGGAAAATAGACAACATCTACAAACTTTCTTACCTAATTTTCCTGAAGATGATGAACTGGAAAAAACAAAAACGTTACAGAGGTTATTTGACTTTGACATCTTTAAGTTTACAAGTCCTGTAGTTAAATTTCATGATGAGCTAAAAGCTGGTTACTTTAGACCAGATATAGCGCGCATGAGGAAGGTTATAAAGAAGGCTGAAAAAAACGAAGCTAAATACAGGTACAAAATATTTAGAAAGCAGCTAAAAGATGAAATTGTAGAATCTCAAACCAAGCTTTTATCTCAAGTAAGAAATCTACCTCCTGGTGTGGAACCAAAACAAGAAAAAAGAAAGAATAATGTAGATTATGTTTCTTATAGAACAAAAAGGCGTTACTTTCAAATATTACAGTCAATAAAGTTAAAAACTGATGACACAGGATGTTCTTCAGATGAGAACTACCCAGAGGGACCACCATCTTCATTATCTAGAAAACAAAAGAGACATCTTAATAGTATTAGAAATAGTTTAAACAATTCTAAAGAACAATTCTATGGTTCGAGTATGGTCGCGAAATTAAACAGTTTCCCTATAGATTTAGAACAACACATCACAGCTAATTATAATCCTTTTTACATAAATGATGAATCTTATAAACATATGATGTATGATCACAAAAGAAGAAAGTTAGAACAGACAGATAATATTGAGTTAAACACCAAAGGTTTAACAATTAGTGAAATTATAAATAGAACCCAACTGCCTTATAATAAAAACATGCCACTAGTTACCAAACACCAAGTAGAATCTAAATCATTAACAAAAAAGAAAATCAAAAAGGAGCATCATAGGAAATTCTCAGAAAATATATTTAGTAATAAGATTAAAGTGAATTATCATAGTTCTAATTCAGATTCTGATTCAGACACATTTGTGGATTGCATGTCAAGTAGTGCATCGAAATCGCGAAATAAATTGAACAAATTACATTTAAATAGAAGGACGCCGCCGAAAGTTAAAGTTGAAATTAAAAAGGAAATTTTAACTCCTCCTTTGGCCACTTTTTCTAATGTATCCCCTCAGATAAATCCTAGTAGTTCAAATAATGTATCGAATATTTTTCAACCTATTAACAGTATTAGTCAGTATGGTAAAATTACGCCGGCTTGCGTGGAAGATTTGGATGGAATTGATGTTATGAATATCCCTATTGATTTGGATAATTCTGACATTGATATATTGGAGTTAAGCAATAAACCGGAATTGATGCAGGACACTCATGCTAACTTCTTTTCTTTGATAAGGGATGTGATTTGTTCTACCTGTGATCATAGAATGAGCATGTATACATTACAAGAGCGGTAAGTACTTAATAATAAAATTATTTATATACAGCATGTCTCAAAAAAAACTTATTATATATCTACAGAACACTCTTTTATTATTGATTTCTCAGAAAATTTTATTCTTGATCAAAGTTGGAGCTTCACATAAACAATGATTTGAATTTATTACATTCCTAAAAAAAATTACCATGTACGAGGGGAAGTCTAAAAATTAATATGAATTATATATTTTATTGATTTTTTAGCAAATTTTATTATTGATTAAAGTTATAGCTTCACATGAACCATAATTTGAACTTAATACATTCTGAAAAATAATTTTCATATACGAGGGAAGTTCAAAAATATGAATTTGGTGAAATACCATTTTTACTTTATAGAAATCTATTTTATTGATTTCTCAGAAAATTTTATTCTTGTTTAAAGTTAGATATTCACCTAAACCATTATTTGAATTTAATATATTCAAAAAAATAATTGCCATGTACGAGGGAAGTTCAAAAATATAAATTTGACTCTAGAGTAAAGTACTACCCTTATTTTTAATAATAGAGGAAATTATTATTTTAAAACTTGTTAACAAACATTATTTATGCCCAAAAAAAGTATACAGTGTGTCTCAACAAGTTTCCACAAACAGAAAATATTTGTTGTTAATTTCAGATAATTTTATTCTTGTTTAAAATTGGTGAACTTAATGCATTCAAAAGAAAATATTGTCATGTACGAGGGAAGCCCAAAAATATGAATTTGGGGAAATACAATTTTTAGTTTATATAAATCTTTTTTGTTTATTTCTCAGTAAAGCTTATTCTCAATTATCACTTAAATCTTGATTAAAACTTATTACAGTCATAAAAAATAATTTCCATGTACGGGGAAGTTCAAAAATATATAATTTGGTGAAATAAAGGTTTTACTTTATAGACATCTCTTTCTGAATGAATCGCCAACTTTAATCAACAATAAAACAGATTTCTATATAGTAAAAACTTTATTTCACCAAATTCATATTTTTGGACTTCCCTCGTAAATGACAATTATTTTTTTTAATGTATTAAGTTCAAATCATGGTTTAGGTGAATCACCAACTTTAATCAGGAATGAAATTTTCTGAGAAATAAACATTACTAAAGATTTTTATAAAGTAAAAACTTTATTTCACCAAATACATATTTTTGGATTTCCCTCGTAAATGAAAATTATTTTTTTGAATGTAATATGTTCAAATAATGGTTCAAGTGAATCATCAACTTTAGAATAAAATTTTCTGAGAAATCAACGATAAAACAGATTTCTATACAGTAAAAACTTTATTTCACCAAATTCATATTTTTGGACTTCCCTGGTAAACGACAATTTTTTTTTTAAATGTATTGAGTTTAAATCATCGTTTAAGTGAATCACCGACTTTAATCAGAAATTAAATTTTCTGAGAAATAAACATTGATAAAGATTTTTATAAAGTAAAAAATGTATTTCACCAAATTCACATTTTTGGACTTCCCTCGTACATAAAAATTATTTTTTGAGTATAAAATGTTTAAATGAATCACCAACTTTAATCTAGAATAAAATTTTCTGAGAAATCAACAGTAAGACAGATTTCTATAAAATAGAACCTTTATTTCACCAAATACGTATTTTTGGATTTCCCTCGTAAATTAATATTATTTTTTTGAATGTATTGAGTTTAAATCATCGTTTAAATGAATCACCGACTTTAATCAGAAATTAAATTTTCTGAGAAATAAACATTAATAATGATTTTTATAAAGTAAAAAATGTATTTCACCAAATTCACATTTTTGGACTTCCCTCGTACATAAAAATTATTTTTTGAGTATAAAATGTTTAAATGAATCACCAACTTTAATCTAGAATAAAATTTTCTGAGAAATCAACAGTAAGGCAGATTTCTATAAAATAAAACCTTTATTTCACCAAATACATATTTTTGGATTTCCCTCGTAAATGAAAATAATTTTTTTGAATGTAATATATTCAAATAATGGTTTAAGTGAATCATCAACTTTAATTTAGAATAAAATTTTCTGATAAATCAATGATGAAACAAATTTCTATAAAGTAAAAACTTTATTTCACCAAATACATATTTTTGAACTTCCCTCGTACATGAGAATTATTTTTTGAGTGTAAGATGTTCAAATTATGATTTAAGTGAATCACCAACTTTAATCTAGAATAACATTTTCTGAGAAATCAACAATAAAACAGATTTTTATAAAGTAAAAACTTTATTTTTTCCCCTAATTGATATGTTTGGACTTCCCTCGTAAATGACAATTATGTTTTTGAATGTATTAAATTAAAATAATGATTTAGGTGAATCATCAACTTTAATCAGGAATAAAATTTTCTGAGAAATAAACATTATATTAAAAGAGATTTTTATAAAGTAAAAAATGTATTTCAGTAAATTAATATTTTTGGACTTCCCTCGTACATGAAAATTATTTTTTTAGTGTAATATGTTTAAATTATAATTTAAGTGAATCACCAACTTTAATCAAGAAAAAATTTTTCTGAGAAATCAATAATAAAACAGATTTCAATAAGGTAAAAAACATTATTTCACCAAATTCATATTTTTGGACTTCCCTAGTAAATGACAATTATTTTTTTGAATGTAATATGTTTAAATAATGGTTTAAGTGAATCACCAACTATAATCTAGAATAAAATTTTCTGAGAAATCAACAGTAAAACAGATTTCTATAAAGTAAAAACTTTATTTCACCAAATACATATTTTTGGACTTCCCTCGTAAATGAAAATTATTTTTTTGAATCTAATAAAAAGGCGTTACTTTCAAATATTGCAGTCAATAAAGTTAACAACTGATGACACAGGATGTTCTTCAGATGAGAACTACCCAGAGGGACCACCATCTTCATTATCTAGAAAACAAAAGAGACATCTTAATAGTATTAGAAATAGTTTAAACAATTCTAAAGAACAATTCTATGGTTCGAGTATGGTCGCGAAATTAAACAGTTTCCCTATAGATTTAGAACAACACATCACAGCTAATTATAATCCTTTTTACATAAACGACGAATCTTATAAACATATGATGTATGATCACAAAAGAAGAAAGTTAGAACAGACAGATAATATCGAGTTAAACACCAAAGGTTTAACAATTAGTGAAATTATAAATAGAACCCAACTGCCTTATAATAAAAACATGCCACTAGTTACCAAACACCAAGTAGAATCTAAATCATTAACAAAAAAGAAAATCAAAAAGGAGCATCATAGGAAATTCTCAGAAAATATATTTAGTAATAAGATTAAAGTGAATTATCATAGTTCTAATTCAGATTCTGATTCAGACACATTTGTGGATTGCATGTCAAGTAGTGCATCGAAATCGCGAAATAAATTGAACAAATTACATTTAAATAGAAGGACGCCGCCGAAAGTTAAAGTTGAAATTAAAAAGGAAATTTTAACACCTCCTTTGGCGACTTTTTCTAATGTATCCCCTCAGATAAATCCTAGTAGTTCAAATAATGTATCGAATATTTTTCAACCTATTAACAGTATTAGTCAGTATGGTAAAATTACGCCGGCTTGCGTGGAAGATTTGGATGGAATCGATGTTATGAATATCCCTATTGATTTGGATAATTCTGACATTGATATATTGGAGTTAAGCAATAAACCGGAATTGATGCAGGACACTCATGCTAACTTCTTTTCTTTGATAAGGGATGTGATTTGTTCTACCTGTGATCATAGAATGAGCATGTATACATTACAAGAGCGGTAAGTACTTAATAATAAAATTATTTATATACAGCATGTCTCAAAAAAAATTATATATATCTACAGAAAACTCTTTTATTATTGATTTCTCAGAAAATTTTATTCTTGATCAAAGTTGGAGCTTCACATAAACAATGATTTGAATTTATTACATTCCTAAAAAAAATTACCATGTACGAGGGGAAGTCCAAAAATTAATATGAAATATATATTTTATTGATTTTTTAGCAAATTTTATTATTGATTAAAGTTATAGCTTCACATGAACCATAATTTGAACTTAATACATTCTGAAAAATAATTTTCATGTACGAGGGAAGTTCAAAAATATGAATCTGGTGAAATACCATTTTTACTTTATAGAAATCTATTTTATTGATTTCTCAGAAAATTTTATTCTTGTTTAAAGTTAGATATTCACCTAAACCATTATTTGAATTTAATATATTCAAAAAAATAATTGCCACGTACGAGGGAAGTTCAAAAATATAAATTTGGTGAAATACCATTCTTACTCTATAAAAATCAGTTTTATTGTTGATTTCTCAGAAAATTTTATTCTTGATTAAAGTTAGATATTCACCTAAACCATTATTTGAACTTAATAGATTCAAAAAAATAATTACCATGTACGAGGGAAGTTCAAAAATATAAATTTGACTCTAGAGTAAAGTACTACCCTTATTTTTAATAATAGAGGAAATTATTATTTTAAAACTTGTTAACAAACATTATTAATGCCCACCTATCACAAAAAAAAAAAATATCTACAGTGTAACTCAAAAAGTTTCCACGAAATAGAAAACATTTGTTGTTAATTTCTCAGATAATTTTATTCTTGATTAAAATTGGTGAACTTAATTTCATTCCTGATTAAAGTTGGTGATTCACCTATACCATGATTTAAACCCAATACATTCAAAAAAATAATTGTCATTTACGAGGGAAGTTCAAAAATATGAATTTGGTGAAATAAAGTTTTTACTTTATAGAAATCTGTTTTATTGTTGATTTCTCAGAAAATTTTATTCTAGATTAAAGTTGGCGATTCACTTAAACCATTATTTAAACATATTACATTCCAAAATTAATTTTCATGTACGAGGGAAGTTCAAAAATATGAAATTGGGGAAATACATTTTTTTCTTTATAAAAATCTTTTTTAATGTTTATTTCTCAGAAAATTTTATTCCTGATTGAAGTTGGCCATTCACCTAAACCATGATTTGAACCCAATACATTCTAAAAAAATAATTGTCATTTACGGGGGAAGTCCAAAAATATGAATTTGGTGAAATACATTTTTTACTTTATAAAAATCTTTATTAATGTATATTTCTCAGAAAATTTCATTCCTGATTAAAGTTGGTGATTCACCTAAACCATGATTTGAACTTAATACATTAAAAAAAATAATTTTAATTTACGAGGGAAGTGAAAAAATATGAATTTGGGGAAATACAAGTTTTTTACTTTATAGAAATCTGTTTTACTGTTGATTTCTCAGAAAATTTTATTCTAGATTAAAGTTGGTGATTCACTTAAACCTTTATTTAAACATATTGCATTCCAAAATTAATTTTCATGTACGAGGGAAGTTCAAAGATATGAATTTGGGGAAATACATTTTTTTCTTTATAAAAATCTTTTTTAATGTTTATTTCTCAGAAAATTTTATTCTTGATTAAAGTTGGCGATTCACCTAAACCATGATTTGAACCCAATACATTCGAAAAACATAATTGTCATTTACGAGGGAAGTCCAAAAATATGAATTTGGTGAAATAAAGTTTTTACTTTATAGAAATCTGTTTTATTGTTGATTTCTCAGAAAATTTTATTCTAGATTAAAGTTGGTGATTCACTTAAACCATTATTTAAACATATTACATTCAAAAAATAATTTTCATGTACGAGGGAAGTACAAAAATATTAATTTGGTGAAATACATTTTTTTTTTATAAAAATCTTTATTAATGTTTATTTCTCAGAAAATTTTATACCTGATTAAAGTTGGTGATTCACCTAAACCATGATTTGAACTTAATACATTTAGAAAAATAATTGTCATTTACGAGGGAAATCCAAAAATATGAATTTGGTGAAATACATTTTTTACTTTATAAAAATCTTTATTAATGTTTATTTCTCAGAAAATTTTATTCCTGATTAAAGTTGGTGATTCACTTAAACCATTATTTGAACATATTACATTCATAAAAATAATTTTCATGTACGAGGGAAGTCCAAAAATATGAATTTGGTGAAATATATTTTTTACTTTATAAAAATCTTTATTAAGTTTATTTCTCAGAAAATTTTATACCTGATTAAAGTTGGTGATTCACCTAAACCATGATTTGAACTTAATACATTTAGAAAAATAATTGTCATTTACGAGGGAAATCCAAAAATATGAATTTGGTGAAATAAAGTTTTTACTTTGTGTAAAAATCTGTTTTACTGTCGATTTCTCAGAAAATGTTATTCTTGATTAAAGTTGGTGATTCACTTAAACCATTATTTGAACATATTACATTCATAAAAATAATTTTCATGTACGAGGGAAGTCCAAAAATATGAATTTGGTGAAACATATTTTTTACTTTATAAAAATCTTTATTAATGTTTATTTCTCAGAAAATTTTATACCTGATTAAAGTTGGTGATTCACCTAAACCATGATTTGAACTTAATACATTTAAAAAAATAATTGTCATTTACGAGGGAAATCCAAAAATATGAATTTGGTGAAATAAAGTTTTTACTTTGTGTAAAAATCTGTTTTACTGTTGATTTCTCAGAAAATGTTATTCTTGATTAAAGTTGGTGATTCACTTAAACCATTATTTGAACATATTACATTCAAAAAAATTATTTTCATTTACGAGAGAAATCAAAAAATATGAATTTTGTGAAATACATTTTTTACTTTATAAAAATCTTTTTTAATGTGTATTTCTCAGAAAATTTCATTCCTGATTAAAGTTGGTGATTCACCTAAACCATAATTTGAATCCAATACATTCAAAAAAAAATAATTTTCATTTGCGTGGGAAGTCCAAAAATATGGATTTGGTGAAATAAAGTTTTTAATTTATAGAAATCTGTTTTATTGTTGATTTCTCAGAAAATTTTATTCCTGATTAAAGTTGGTGATTCACTTAAACCATTATTTGAACATATTACATTCATAAAAATAATTTTTATGTACGAGGGAAGTCCAAAAATATGAATTTGGTGAAATATATTTTTTACTTTATAAAAATCTTTATTAATGTTTATTTCTCAGAAAATTTTATTCTTGATTAAAGTTGGTGATTCACTTAAACCATTATTTAAACATATTACATTCATAAAAATAATTTTCATGTACGAGGGAAGTCCAAAAATATGAATTTGGTGAAATATATTTTTTACTTTATAAAAATCTTTATTAATGTTTATTTCCTAGAAAATTTTATACCTGATTAAAGTTGGTGATTCACCTAAACCATGATTTGAACTTAATACATTTAGAAAAATAATTGTCATTTACGAGGGAAATCCAAAAATATAAATTTGGTGAAATAAAGTTTTTACTTTGTGTAAAAATCTGTTTTACTGTTGATTTCTCAGAAAATGTTATTCTTGATTAAAGTTGGTGATTCACTTAAACCATTATTTGAACTTATTACATTCATAAAAATAATTTTCATGTACGAGGCAAGTCCAAAAATATGAATTTGGTGAAATATATTTTTTACTTTATAAAAATCTTTATTAATGTTTATTTCTCAGAAAATTTTATACCTGATTAAAGTTGGTGATTCACCTAAACCATGATTTGAACTTAATACATTTAGAAAAATAATTGTCATTTACGAGGGAAATCCAAAAATATGAATTTGGTGAAATAAAGTTTTTACTTTGTGTAAAAATCTGTTTTACTGTTGATTTCTCAGAAAATGTTATTCTTGATTAAAGTTGGTGATTCACTTAAACTATTATTTGAACATATTACATTCAAAAAAAATAATTTTCATTTACGAGGGAAATCCAAAAATATGAATTTTGTGAAATACATTTTTTACTTTATAAAAATCTTTTTTAATGTGTATTTCTCAGAAAATTTAATTCCTGATTAAAGTTGGTGATTCACCTAAACCATAATTTGAATCCAATACATTCAAAAAAAAATAATTTTCATTTACGTGGGAAGTCCAAAAATATGGATTTGGTGAAATAAAGTTTTTACTTTATAGAAATCTGTTTTATTGTTGATTTCTCAGAAAATTTTATTCTTGATTAAAGTTGGTGATTCACCTAAACCTTGATTAGAACTTATTAGATTCAACAAAATAAATTTTCATATACGAGGGAAATCCAAAAATATAAAAAAATATTTGGAAAATTCGTTTAAAAACAATATAATATAAATAATTTTACTAATGATATACTAATCAGTGCATCAGAATATGCAGCTATCAAATTATTGTATTCTAAATTAACATTTGACCACCTTAAACAATGGTCATAACTATAATTACAAATATAACCAATTGACCTCCTATTTGACGAAAATAATATCAACATACAAAATAATGGGAGAGTATTGATATAGATTTAACAAAATTAGCAAACAAAATATTTTTTTTATTTGTTTTATTTAATTGTGACAATTCCTATTGTGCGCAAGATCAATCTCTGTCTGTATTCTATTATTAAAGCCAATTTACAACTTGAAATTACCTTTGCTACAAATAAAATTGCTGCAATTACTATTGAGCTCAAGATAAATTACTGTCTGTATTATTAAGGCCCGTTTACAACTTACAAGTAAAATTGCGGCAATTCCTATTGAGCGCAAGATAAATTGCTGTCTCTACTGTATTATTAAAGCCAATTTACAGCCCAAAATTGTCTTTGCTGCAATTCCTATTGAGCTCGAGATAAAGTGCTGTCTGTGTTATTAAATCCAGTTTATAGCTTGCACTTTTCCTTGCCGGAAGTAAAATTGCGGCAATTCCTATTGAGCGCAAGATACGTTGCTGTCTATACTGTATTATTTAAGCCAATTTACAGCTCACATTTGTCTTTGTTACAAATAAAATTGCTGCAATTTCTATTGAGCTCAAGATTAATTTTCTATCTGTATTATTAAAGCCAGTTAGCTGCTTGCAATTTTTCTTGCTGCAAGTAAAATTGCGGTAATTTCTCTTGAGCGCAAGATAAATTGCAATCTCTACTGTATTATTTAAGCCAATTTGCAGCTCACAATTGTCTTTGTTACAAATAAAATTGCCGCAATTCCTATTAAGCTCAAGATCAATTATTAAAGCCAGTTTGTTGCTTGCAATTTTTCTTGCTGCAAGTAAAATTGCGGCAGTTCCTATTGAGCGCAAGATAAATTGCGGCAATTCCTATTGAACACAAGATAAATTGCCGTATGTACCGTTTTATTAAAGCGAATTTACAGCTCTCTACAATAGTATCAAATTTTCCAGTTTAAAAGCATGGCAAGAAAACCCCATCAGCCCCCTAAACGATTGGTACAGTTTCACGGACAACTGGATAGGAATTCTTCCATCGGCAATAACGTTTTTATGCGGCAATGCATCAGAACAACCGGACGATTTTGTACCTTACATGGAATACAAAGTCAATTTGGACGTATATCAATGGATAGGTGCCGGGAGAGACTCGGACGCTTTACTGAGTTCTTTGTGCAATTTTTGGCTGGAACACAAGTCCGAAACGAAGGACTTGTCGCCCGGCAAGGACGATTTAGATGTAGATATTACGGATAGGTCTAGTAGTCCGCCGCCGCCCAGATTTCCTACTACGTGGACGGTGCGGAAGGCTACGGCCGAGGAGATTAAAGATTTTCGCGAGCAGGAGAGAAGAAGGTAAGTGTTCCTTCCTATTCTTTTGGTAAATTTATGTCTACTGCGAGACACAGTTAAAATTCAGTAGTAGTCGTTCAAGTTATCATTTTATTTTTATTCTATTTAAAAAAATCGATTGTAAAAAATAATCGATTTTTTAAAATGATCGATTGTAAAAATAATCGATTGTAAAAAATGTTAATAGTGAAAAAATCGAATATAAAATGTATCGATTGTAAAAAGTTAATTTTGTGTGGATCTCTCCATATTTTCCACTTAACTTGTCATTTTCTTTTTTGATCTATTAGAAAAAACGGGTGGTGTAAATAAAATCGATTGGAAAAAGAATCGATTGTGAAATATCCATCCATCCAAAGTAATCGATTATAAAAAAAGTATCGATAGTAAAAAATAATCGATTAAGTATTGATAGTAAAAAATAATCATTTGTAAAATTAATCGATTCTAAAGGAAATAAAAAGTAAAGTTTGTAAAAAATCGATTGAAAATAGTATTAATAATAAAAAAATCGATTGTAATAATAATCAAATTCCTTTTTAATCTATTTGATTGTAAAAACAAATGGATGATGTAATTATAATCGCTTGGAAAAAGAATCGATTGTGAAATATCCATTGTAAAAAATCGACTGTAAAAAGAAAGGATTTTAAACAGTATTAATAGTAGAAAGTAATCGATTATAAAAAAGTATCGATAGTAAAAAATAATCGATTAAGTATTGATAATAAAAAAATAATTGAATATAACAAGTATTGATAGTAAAAAATAATCATTTGTAAAATGAATCGATTGTAAAGGAAATAATGCTATCTAAAAAGTAAAGTTTGTAAAAAATCGATTGTAATAATAATCAAATTCCTTTTTAATCTATTTGATTGTAAAAACAAATGGATTATGTAATTATAATCGATTGGAAAAAGAATCGATTGTGAAATATCCATTGTAAAAAATCGACTGTAAAAAGAATTGATTTTAAACAGTATTAATAGTAAAAAGTAATCGATTATAAAAAAGTATCAATAGTAAAAAATAATCGATTGTTAAAAAGTATTGCTAATAAAAAGAATCGATTGTAACAAGTATTAATAGTAAAAAAATAATTGTAAAATGAATCGATTGTAAAAGAAATATGCTATCTAAAAAGTAAAGATTGTAAAAATCGATTGAAAACAGTATTAATAATAAAAAAATCGATTGTAATAATAATCAAATTTCTTTTTAATCTATTTGATTGTAAAAACAAATGGATGATGTAATTATAATCGATTGGAAAAAGAATCCATTATAAAAAGAATTATCCAATTCCTTATTTGATTAAAAAAAATGGATGATATAATTAGAATCGATTGGAAAAATAATCGATCGTGAAAAATCGACTGTAAAAAAGGATTTTAAACAGCATTAATAGTAAAAAGTAATCGATAGTAAAAAATAATCGATTGTAACAAGTATTGATAGTAAAAAATAATCAATTGTAAAATGAATCGATTGCAAAAGAAATAATACTATCTAAAAAGTAAAGATTGTAAAAATCGATTGAAAACGGTATTAATAATAAAAAAATCGATTGTAATAATAATCAAATTCCTTTTTAATCTATTTGTGTGATTATAATCGATTGGAAAAAGAATCGATTGTGAAGTATCCATTGTAAAAAATCGACTGTAAAACGAAAGGATTTTAAACGGTATTAATAGTGGAAAGTAATCGATTATAAAAAAGTATCGATTATAAAAAAGTATCGATAGTAAAAAATAATCGAATGTTAAAAAGTATTGATAATAAAAAGATAATCGATTGTAACAAGTATTAATAGTAAAAAAATAATTGTAAAATGAATCGATTGTAAAATAACATTAATAGTAAAAAAGATTTGATAGTAAAAAATAATCGATAGTAAGAAATAATCGGTTGCAAAAAATAATATAAGCTAAAAGGTATAGATTGCAAAATTCGATCGGAAACCGTATTAATAGTTAAAAAATCGATTGGAAAATGAATCGATTGTAAAAGGAATTATCCATAATTCCTTTTTAATCTATTTAATTGAAAAAAAGGATGATGTAATTTGAATCGATTGCAAGAAGAATCGATTGTGAAGTATCCATCGTAAAAAATTGTTTGTAAAAAAAGGATTTTAAACAACATTAATAGTAAAAAATAATCGATTGTAAATAGTATCGATACTAAGAAATAATCGATTGCAAAAAATAATACAAGCTGAAAGGTATAGATTGTAAAATTCGATCGAAAACCGTATTAATAGTTAAAAAATCGATTGGAAAATGAATCGATTGTAAAAGGAATTATCCACAATTCCTTCTTAATCTATTTGATTGAAAAAAAAAAAAGAATGATATAATTAGAATCGATTGCAAGAAGAATCGATTGTGAAGTATCCATCGTAAAAAATTGTTTGTAAAAAAAGGATTTTAAACAACATTAATAGTAAGAAAGATTTGACAGTAAAAAATAATCGATTGTAAATAGTATCGATAGTAAGAAATAATCGATTGCAAAAAATAATATAAGCTAAAAGGTATAGATTGTAAAATTCGATCGAAAACCGTATTAATAGTTAAAAAATCGATTGGAAAATGAATCGATTGTAAAAGGAATTATCCACAATTCCTTCTTAATCTATTTGATTGAAAAAAAAAAAGAATGATATAATTAGAATCGATTGCAAGAAGAATCGATTGTGAAGTATCCATCGTAAAAAATTGTTTGTAAAAAAAGGATTTTAAACAACATTAATAGTAAGAAAGATTTGACAGTAAAAAATAATCGATTGTAAATAGTATCGATAGTAAGAAATAATCGATTGCAAAAAATAATATAAGCTAAAAGGTATAGATTGTAAAATTCGATCGAAAACCGTATTAATAGTTAAAAAATCGATTGGAAAATGAATCGATTGTAAAAAGAATTATCCACAATTCCTTCTTAATCTATTTGATTGAAAAAAAAAAGAATGATATAATTAGAATCGATTGCAAGAAGAATCGATTGTGAAGTATCCATCGTAAAAAATTGTTTGTAAAAAAAGGATTTTAAACAACATTAATAGTAAGAAAGATTTGACAGTAAAAAATAATCGATTGTAAATAGTATCGATAGTAAGAAATAATCGATTGCAAAAAATAATATAAGCTAAAAGGTATAGATTGTAAAATTCGATCGAAAACCGTATTAATAGTTAAAAAATCGATTGGAAAATGAATCGATTGTAAAAGGAATTATCCACAATTTCTTCTTAATCTATTTGATTGAAAAAAAAAGGATGATATAATGAGAATCGATTGCAAGAAGAATCGATTGTGAAGTATCCATCGTAAAAAATTGTTTGTAAAAAAGATTTTAAACAGCATTAATAGTAAAAAGTAATCGATAGTAAAAAAGATTTGATAGTAAAAAATAATCGATTGTAAATAGTATCGATAGTAATAAATAATCGATTGCAAAAATAATACAAGCTAAAAAATATAGATTGTAAAAATCGACTGAAATCTTATTAATAGTTAAAAAATCGATTGGAAAATGAATCGATTATAAAAAAAATATGCAATTCCATATTTGATAAAAAAAATGGACGATATAATTAGAATCGATTGGAAAAAGAATCGATCGAAAACTATATTAATGGTTAAAAAATTGATTGGAAAATGAATCGATTGTAAAAGGAATTATTCACAATTCCTTCTTAATCTATTTGATTTATAAAAAATGGATGATATAATTAGAATCGATTTGAAAATGAATCGATTGTGAAGTATCCACCGTAAAAAAATAACAGTAAAAAAAGGATTTTAAACAACATTAATAGTAAAAAGTAATCGATTGTAAAAAAAGATTTGATAGTAAAAAATAGTCGATTGTAAATAGTATCGATAGTAAGAAATAATCGATTTCAAAAAAATAATTCAAGCTAAAAAGTATGGATGGTAAAAAACTATCAAAAACCAAATTAATAGTTAAAAAATCGATTATAAAAAGAATTATCCAATTCCTTAATATATTTCATTAAAAAAAATGGGTGATATAATTAGAATCGATTGAACTGTCCATTTTAAAAAATCGACTGTAAAAAGAAAGGATGTTAAACATGATTAATAGGAAAAAGTAAAAGTAATCGGTTATAAAAAATATTGATAGTAAAAAATAATCGATTGTAAAAATCGATCGAAAACAATAATAATAATAAAAAAAATCAATTTCAAAATGAATAAATTGTAAAAAGAATAATTCCCTATTTGATTAAAAAAAAAATGGATGATGTAATCAGAATCGATTTAAAAAAAGAATCGATTTTGAAATATAGATTGTAAAAAAATCGATTGTAAAAAGAATTTTAAACAGTATTAATAGTAAAAAGTAATCGATTGTAAGAAGTAGTGACAGTAAACAATAATCTATTGAAAAATGAATCTGTACTACATAATCCAAAAATTTTGAAATTAATTATTTGGGCAATCGTTTGACGTACGATTATGTGGTTTGCGGTATCGAATTTTTCTGATTAAGCTCCACAAAATGGTGTATATAAATATCCCGATAATCAAATATTCTTGGTAACAGTAAAAGGTACAAATAAGACAAAAAGGGACCTATTTTGGTTTATTTCCTTAATCGCATTTTTTTTTTTCATTCGCGCGTGTTCCTATTTTTTCTATATCCTTCATATTCTTGTCTCGTTTGTATCTATTGATTAATATTACTTCTACAATCATAAAAATATGAGTAACATAACAACAATAATAGTTCTGTTGTCTTTAACACTCTGATAAGAAATCATGTGGGTATATTATACATATATATCATAATTTGCAGATATGAGTTGTGTAGGTAAATTACATAATCAATTTGATTTAGATAAATAGCGAAAATATAAAAAAAATTGTTTACTCAAAACTGTGAAGTAAATTAAAAGATAAGTAACCAGTCTAGATATTTATGTTTTTTAATTTTCCGGTCTCGTACAATCAATTTTCCCTGGTTAACACTGCTCATTGAATCATATTCTTAATTGTTCAGTAATAAAATTATAACAAAGGGTGATGACATGATTTTTAAACGTACAATTGAATTGCAGCTCAGTATATTTGATATGCTTAAATGCATCGACATATTTTCCTATTAATTAAACCTTGATAAGTGAAATTAAACGTTTTTTTTTATGTGAATCACTATGATTATACTTGTATTGCAAATTAAAATTGTTTTACATACATTGTTAATCATTACAATGGAATTGCATTGCAAAAAATACTATGTGGAAAATGGTGCTTAAAGTCGGTTCAAGATTTATTTTTTTGTTGATATGACGGATTTCAAAGTTAATTAGTAATTTTTGGTTGAAATTATAGTGTTGTCACAGTTGCTATAAACTGTTTGGATGTATCTATTTAGTCAGTATCGATGAAGTTATGCCCTTGAGTATGTCACAGCAATACTTATATTATTCTGCGATGTCAATTTTTTTATACAAAAAAGTCAGAATTTTAGAAAAAGTAAAAATTTTTAGAAACAAACAAAAATCAAAATTTTGAGAATAAATGAAAAAATTTGAAAAGGGTATTTATTTTTTAGAAAACACTCAAGTCAAGTCAAAGTTTTGAGAAAAAAAATCAAAATTTTGTAAATAAATATAAATTTTGAGAAATAAGCTAAAATTTTGAGAAAACTTTAGAAACAAAAATCCAAATTTTGAGAAATAACGAACTGTCAAAGTTTTGAGAAAAAGTCTAAATTTTAAGATTAAATAAAAATTTTGAAAAAAAAATTCAAAATTTTGAGAAACAAATTAAAATTTTGAGAAAGAAGAAATTTTTTTTAGAAAAACGACAAATTTTGAGAATTAATGAAAATTTTAAGAAAAAAGTCAATTAAGTCAAAATTTTGAAAAGCAAAAATCAAAATTTTGAGAAAAAAGTCGAAGGTTTTGAGAAAAAAGTCAAAATTTTAAGAATGACTAAAAATTTTGAATAAAAAAGTCAAAATTTTGCAAGGAGAATTTTTTTTAGAAAAACCCAAAACTTTTAGAGTCAGTTTTAAGAAAAAAACAAAATTTTGTAAATATTTAAAAAAAAAAAGCAAATTTTTGATAAAAAATTCTAAATTTTAATAAACCAAAATTTTGAGAAAAAGTAATAATTTTTAGAAAAAGTCAGTTTTAAGAAAAAATCCAAAATTTTGAGAAGCAAATCAAAATTTTGGGAATAAATAAAAATTTTGAGATAAAAGTCAAAAGTTTTGGGAAAAAAATCAAAATTCTTAGAAAAAATTGTATGTGTCCAACACATGACTTTCCTATCTATTACAGGCTTTTTTCGGTTATTTTGTACAACCTATTGTGGCACCTCTGTAAATATTTAGAAGTTAACTTACACAAGCAGACAGACACAGACCGACACAGACAGACACAGACAGACACAGACAGACACAGACAGACACAGACAGACACAGACAGACACAGACAGACACAGACAGACACAGACAGACACAGACAGACACAGACAGACACAGACAGACACAGACAGACACAGACAGACACAGACAGACACAGACAGACACAGACAGACACAGACAGACACAGACAGACACAGACAGACACAGACAGACACAGACAGACACAGACAGACACAGACAGACACAGACAGACACAGACAGACACAGACAGACACAGACAGACACAGACAGACACAGACAGACACAGACAGACACAGACAGACACAGACAGACACAGACAGACACAGACAGACACAGACAGACACAGACAGACACAGACAGACACAGACAGACACAGACAGACACAGACAGACACAGACAGACACAGACAGACACAGACAGACACAGACAGACACAGACAGACACAGACAGACACATACAGACACAGACAGACACAGACAGACACAGACAGACACAGACAGACACAGACAGACACAGACAGACACAGACAGACACAGACAGACACAGACAGACACAGACAGACACAGACAGACACAGACAGACACAGACAGACACAGACAGACACAGACAGACACAGACAGACACAGACAGACACAGACAGGCGCAGACAGACACAGACGCAAACAGACATTATCGCGAAAATAGTCAAAAGGGACTCAAAGGACCCCCAAAACGTAAAAATCCGTCGAAAACTCGAGGTCGAAAAAAATCATGATTCCCATACTTTCCTTATCTGTATACAGCAATATTTTGAGAAAAAAGTCAAATTTTGGAAAAAAATTCAAGTGTTGAGAAAAATTTAAAAAGTCAGTTTTCAGGAAAAAGCCAAAATTTTAGGAAACAAAAATCAAAATTTTGGAAAAAATAATTTATTTAGAATAACGAAACTTTTTTGAAACAAAAGTCAAAATTGTGAGAATAAATCCAAATTTTTAAGAAATAGCCAAAAGTTTGAGAAACAAAAATCAACTTTTTGGGAGAAAAAAGACAAAAATTTTGAGAACAAAGTGAAATTTTTTAGGAAAGCCAAAATTTTGAGAAATTAGTCAATTTTTTTAGAAAAAAGCTAAAATTTTGATAAAAAAGTCAAAATGTTTAAATAAAAAGTTAACAGTTAAAATTTTGAGAGAAAAAAGTAAAAACTTTGAGAAAAAAGTCAAAATTTTGAGAAAAAGTGATTTTTTTTTGGAAAAAGAAAAAGATAGAAATTAATTGCTGTTAGTACCAAAATAAAGACAAGTCTCGCCACAACTTACAATAATACAAGTCATTTGCATGTCAGAAATACTTCACTAAAACTTAAATAAATCAAATACAATGTATTTTCTTTTCATTACATACCTTTTTACCCCTTTATTACTATATTTCCATTGTCTTATAATAAAACGTGTATAAAGCGAATATTATAAGCATACATCTTTAATTATTTGAGCTAATAATGTACAAAAAAAAAAAACGTAAACAAGTTTGTGTGCCATCAGGCAACCATATTGGATTTTTTATCGGAATGCCTAATCGCGGTTCTTTTTACCAGGTACGATAATCCCCATAAGGCGTTTACGTACCGATGTAACGGTTACGAATCGGTCGTGGGCCCCATCAAAGGCATCTACAACCCAGCGGTGGGTAACAGCAAAGCGCGAGGCCACACGATGCTTTCCGCTGACAGACCGAACTTCGTCACCATTCTGTCTTTAGTTCGCGACGCCGCCGCTAGATTACCGAACGGAGAAGGCACCAGAGCCGAAATCTGCGAATTGTTGAAATCATCTCAATACATATCGAGCACGGCGCCAGATAATGTCTTGCAATCGGTGGTGTCTGGCGCTTTGGACAGGATGCACACGCAATGGGATCCGTGCGTTAAGTACGATCCCAAAAAGAAAATATGGATTTATTTGCATCGGAACAGAACTGAAGAGGATTTCGAAAGAATACATCAACAATATCAGGGTAAGGTTCTAAAAACTGATGGTGTTAGCTGTTTGTTATCGTTTGAACTTTATAGGAATAAACAAATCGAAGAAAACCGCTCACAAGAAAGCCCCTTCGAAGCCCAAACAAAAGCAATCGCCGGAAAAAGCGGTTAAAACGATTAAAAGCGAACCAACAACCACCGCTCCACCTCCCACCCCTATCCAACCTCCTCCGTTACAAGAAACTACGGTAAAAACGATACGCAGAGCCAGCGTTACTCAACCGGCACCTTTACCCGTTCAGACTACAGTCAAAACGACAGTTCAAATTCCCCAAAACCCGCCCACGCCCGCTCAAATTCCAGTTCAGCATCCCGTTCAAATCCCCCCGCCATTACCTAGCTTGATAACCGTATCGGCGCCTCAGAAGGGAACGAGTTTGTTGCTGAGCAACAATTTACCCAAGCAACAAACGCAGGATGCCGCACTGCCCGCCAAGGCTGTGATATCCGACGAACCGCCGCCGCTGGCCGCTGCTTCGAATGTCGGTTTGAAGCAGCAGCTGCAGCATCACAAGGACGACAAGGAGATCGGCAAAAGTTTCCAGACGATCATCCAAAATCGGGTGGCCAGTCCTACTTTGAAAAGCGGTAAGTACAATTATTTAAACTAGCATGAAAAGCCAAATTTCCCGTCGATAATTTCAATAATTTGACAAACGCCATTATAAACAACATTGTTAGTGATAGATTCAAACACCTTTCTGATTTGTATTCGCAAAATCGCAACTTTATTATCTCTAGATCGGTTTATATTTGTATTTAGGCAAGAGTCTCGTCAAAATCCTATCTCCGTCCCAAGGCAAATCTCTGATCATACCAACGACTAACGCGCAACTGATAAAGCAAATCCAAGAACAACAAAGCGCCACCGGTAAACAAATGGGTCAAGTCGTCACCCAACAGCTACTGCAAACGCTAGCCGCGCAGCAGAAGCAAATCCTCGTTCAAAAACACAGTCCCACTGAAGGCGAAATATCCCACGAGAAAATAAAAACGTCAAACAACATGCAACAACAAATTTTGCAGCTACAGAACATCAAAAACGTGACCTTACTGAGAGCATCGCCAACCGGAAACGTCGGTTTGACTCCGTTAACCTCAGTTTCCGGCGATTCCCCCGGAGAACAAACGAATATAGTAACGGTGGCCGTATCTAAATCGGATCAACTGGTCGGTCAACCCGGCGTCCAAATTAAAACTCAAGGAAATCTGACGCAGGCCCAGCAACAACAGATCCTGCAGACCATCAAGCAAAAGATCCTGCCCAACGCCAGCTTGCTGGCCAATCCGCAGCAGATCATTTTGAAGCAGAAGAGCGGGGTCATTAACGTACAGAAGTCCGGCGGTACGCAGATTGTCGGCCATCATCAAAAAATGAATCACGGTAAGTACGACTTGTTTTAATTTATAAATTCACCATCGCGGTAACATATTAATATAATATTTCTTTGAATGGGCGTTAGTGAAAGATATTAAGACGTGATATTGTTCGACTTTGTAAAACACCCAGTAAGTTAGTATTCTGTCAAATTTGCGCTACTACATTGTTTGATTTCTCCATTATTTCTATGTATCCGTTCAGTTGTTACAAACGTGCGACAATCGTAAAATTCTGTGCTTGACGAGCATTTTATTCAGCAGCCCCATATTTTTTACTCTCAATTTAACTGTGGTTATTATTATACTGCGACTTAAAATATCTATTGTGCTCCCTTCTATCGTTATGGCAGCAAGGGAATCGTCTCCATGTCTGTAAGAACCTTTCCAATACTAATTTCCCAACGAAGTGGAGGATTTGAAGAGACTGCAAGTTAAGAAAATTGCTCTTTTCTTTTTGGTATGCTATTAAGTATAGTGCCCTTGGGAACCATGGTTGGTCTGATGTTTAACAGTTAAATTATAATTTTTTACGCTATTAGGATATTATAAGTAAACTAATAATAAACTAAAAGCAAACTAATAGTTAACTAATAATAACAAATTAATAATAGTAAGCTAAACTAATAGTAAACCGATAGAAAACTAATAGTAAATTAACATTTTCTTCAGCAGCCCCATATTTCGTACTCCCAAATTGTACCAGCGAATGTTCTTGTTATTTTGTCGTTTGCTTAAAACCAAATCAAACCGTGGTTATGTTATGTATGGGGTAGTACTACAGTGCGGCCTAAAATATTTATTGTGGCCCATTATGTCGCTTTGGCAGCAAGGGAATAGTCTTGATGCCTATAACAATCCTTCCAATCATATCTTTCCAAAGAAATGTTTGATTTGGATTGGCTTCAAGTTGGAAAAATCACTCTCCTCTATTTGGTGTTCTCCTAAATATAATGTCCTTGGAAACCGTGGTTGGTCTGGTGTTTAGCAATTAACATATAATTTTATAGACTAATAGTAAAATAAAATTAATAGTTGAATAATAGTAAAATAGTAGTAAACTAATAGTTAGATAATAATTAAATAATAGTAAACTAATAATAAACTAATAATAAACTAATAGTAAAATAATACTAAACTAATAGTTAAATAGTAGTAAACTAATAATAAACTAATAGTAAAATAATACTAAACTAATAGTTAAATAGTAGTAAACTAATAGTAAATTAATAGTAAACTAATAATAAACTAATAGTAAACTAATAATAAGTAATATTTAAATAATTGTAAACTAAAAGTTAAATAATAGTTAATAGTAAACTAATAGTAAAATCGTAGTAGAATCGTAAAATGGTAGTAAAATCGTTGTAAACTCGTAGTAAAATCGTTGTAAACTCGTAGTAAAATCTTAGAAAATCGTAGTAAAATCGTAGCAAACTGGTAGTAAAATCGTAGTAGAATCGTAGTAAAATCGTATTAAAATCGTAGTAACATCGTAGTAGAATCATATTAAAATCGTAGTAGAATCGCAAAATCGTAGTAAACGTGCAGTAAAATCGTAGTAAACGTGTAGTAAAATCGTAGTTAAAATGGTAGTAAAATCGTTATAAAATCTTAGTAAAATCGTAGTAGAATCGTAGTAAACTCGTAGTAAAATCGTATCAAAATCGTAGTAGAATCGTATTAAAATCGTAGTAAAATTGTAGTAGAATCGTAAAATTGTAGTAAAATCGTATCAAAATCGTAGTAACATCGTAGTAGAATAGTATTAAAATCGTAGTAGAATTGTAAAATCGTAGTAAATGTGTAGTAAACTCGTAGTTAAAATGGTATTAAAATCGTTGTAAAATCTTAGAAAATCGTAATAAAATCGTAGTAAACTGGTAGTAAAATCGTAGTAGAATCGTAAAATCGTAGTAAAAGTGTAGTAAAATCGTAGTTAAAATGGTGGTAAAATCGTAGTAGAATCGTAGTAAAATCTTAGTAACATCGTAGTAGAATCGTAAAATCGTAGTAAACGTGTAGTAAAATCGTAGTAGAATCGTAGTAAAATCGTAGTAACATCGTAGTAGAATCGTAAAATCGTAGTAAACGTGTAGTAAAATCGTATTAAAATCGTAGTAAAATTGTAGTAGAATCGTAAAATTGTAGTAGAATCGTAAAATTGTAGTAAAATCGTAGTAAACTCGTAGTAAAATCGTAGTAACATCGTAGTAGAATCGTATTAAAATCGTAGTAGAATTGTAAAATCGTAGTAAATGTGTAGGTAAACTCGTAGTTAAAATGGTATTAAAATCGTTGTAAAATCTTAGAAAATCGTAGTAAAATCGTAGTAAACTGGTAGTAGAATCGTATTAAAATCGTAGTAGAATCGTAAAATCGTATCAAAATCGTAGTAAAAACGTATCAAAATCGTAGTAGAATCGTATTAAAATCGTAGTAAAATTGTAGCAGAATCGTAAAATCGTAGTAAACTCGTAGTAAAAATGGTAGTAAAAACTTAGAAAATCGTAGAAACTCGTAGTAAAATCATAGTAAACTCGTATTAAAAACGTAGTAAAAATGGTAGTAAAATCGTTGTAAAATCTTAGTAAAATAGTAGAAAATCCAAAAAAAACTTGAATTAATATACCTATCAAAACGTTAAAAAAAAAACCATAGGGTCGAGTAAAACCACATTTTAAAAGTATTTTTTATGTTTTGCGTCTGTTTTGTTTTTTGACATAACTGGTGTTATGATGACGTATTGTATATTTAAATACTTGATAGCGGTAATGTAAATTAGTTATAAATGAGTAATTTCAATGTATCACATTATTAGAGCGAATAGTTCTAATGAACAACATCAAAAAACATATTTCTGATAAAATAGTGAATTGTTCAAATGTATCATGATTAAAAATTCGTTTTTTTTACTAATTTTTTTGTTATTAAAGCAAATAGTTCAAATGTACTACATTAAAAATTGGATTTTTGATCAACTAATTGTTATTTAATCTAGTAGCCCAAGTGTACCAGTTTTAAAAATGGTAGTTCTAATAAATTATCGGTGAATAGTTCAAATGTACTACAATCAAAAACGTATTTTTGACAAATTATCGGTTATTAAAAGAAATAGTTTGAAATTATTATATAATAATAATAATGTTTATTTGTAGAATGATACTGATAAATAAAAAATTACATATTATACATTAAAATAAAATCATGCTACAAAAAAGAAACAGCAGACAGCAGAGCTGATACAAAGTGCTATCCCTTAAATTATTTTTATAAATTAATATCGCATTGTATACTACTTTATTTAATTAAATATAATTAACTTTAATTAAACACAATTAAACATAACTAAACATAATTAAATATTCTCAAATACCTGTACGTAAGTACTTATTATATTTTTCCCTAAATGTACCTACTGTAAGATGCTTTAGATGCGAATTATATCAAAAACAGTGTTTATGATAAACTAACAGTTTTTAAAGAAAATAGTTCAAATGTACCACATTAAAAATTGGATTTCTGATCTATTACTGTTATTTAATCTAGTAGCTCAAGTGAACCATGTTTAAAAATGGTAGTTCTAATAAATTATCTATGAATAGTTCAAATGTACTACAATCAAAAACGTATTTTTGACAAATTATTGGTTATTAAAGGAAATAGTTCAAAAGTATTACATCAAAAATAGTGTTTATGATAAACTAACAGTTTTTAAAGTAAATAGTTCAAATGTACCATGATCAAAAATCGTATATCATAGAAAATCAATCACAGAAAATCATAGAAAATCATAGAAAATCATAGAAAATCATAGAAAATCATAGAAAATCATAGAAAATCATAGAAAATCATAGAAAATCATAGAAAATCATAGAAAATCATAGAAAATCATAGAAAATCAGAAAATCATAGAAAATCATAGAAAATCATAGAAAATCATAGAAAATCATAGAAAATCATAGAAAATCATAGAAAATCATAGAAAATCATAGAAAATCATAGAAAATCATAGAAAATCATAGAAAATCATAGAAAATCATAGAAAATCATAGAAAATCATAGAAAATCATAGAAAATCATAGAAAATCATAGAAAATCATAGAAAATCATAGAAAATCATAGAAAATCATAGAAAATCATAGAAAATCATAGAAAATCATAGAAAATCATAGAAAATCATAGAAAATCATAGACAATCATAGAAAATCATAAAAAATCATAGAAAATCATAGAAAATCATAGAAAATCATAGAAAATCATAGAAAATTATAGAAAATCATAGAAAATCAATCATAGAAAATGTACTACAATCAAAAACGTATTTTTGATAAATTATTGGTTATTAAAAGAAATAGTTCAAAAGTACTACATCAAAAATAGTGTTTCTGATAAACTAACAGCTTTTAAAGTAAATATGTAGTTAAATAATGGTAAACTAATAATAAACTAATAGTAAAATAATAGTACACTAATAGTTAAATAATGGTAAACTAATAGTTAAATAATAGTAAACTAATAGATAAATAATAGTAAACCAATAATAAACTAATAGTAAAATAATAGTACACTAATAGTTAAATAATAGCAAACTAATAGTTAATTAATAGTAAAGTAATATTTAAATAATAGTAAACTAATAGTTAAACAATAGTAAACTAATAATAAACCAATAGTAAAAAATGAAAGAAAATTAATATTGTGCTATAAATTGTTAATGGGATGAACTAATTTTGTTTTGGTATTGTTTAAAGATGTAAAATCAGTTGGCTCCTCTCAAGGACCCGTCGTAGCCAAAGTTTTGACCAACGCCGCAGGACAGGTCATCTCCGTGGAAAGTTTACTCCCTCAACAGAAACAAACCAGCGTTTTATCGCAAGGTACCTATTTTAAAACGTTTATAACAATTATTTAATTTTTTTTTACAAAAATGACGCATGTTTAAAATAAGTTTTTTTCAAAAACAAAACGAAAAAGGATTATAGAAGTTCTAATAGACTTTGCAGAATGTATATTTGACTTTTGTAGAAAATTTACTATTCGTGCCAGTAAATACAACAAATGGCTATTAATTGTTACAGTTAATTCGATAATTTTTGGACATGCGTTGTTTTAAAAAAAAAATCTTCAATTTTTCGAAAATTTCTTTCTATTTAGGTACCACTTTGCGAGTAGCAGGTTCCAAATCGGGTCAACAGAACCTCATCCACCTGACTGGTACTTCCAAATCCAACACCATCACGCAATTAACAGTAGGATCGCAAAACAACATCCTCACATTAACGACTCAACCGAAATTAGTGGTGGCATCGCAAACCACTACCGTTACATCATCAACAACCAAATCAACTTCGAGATCGATGAACAAAACTCAGACATTAACGAAAGTCAACTCTAAGGGCAACCAACACTTGTTGAACGCGAAATTGGTGCAAAGTTTGGACCATAAATCGATGCAAGCGAAGCTGTTGGTCGGGCAACAGAATCAGTTGAAATTGGCGCAGGGTAAGAATTCGCCGCATTCGAAGAATCTCACTTTGAACGTCGCCGGTAATACGAACACTATACGAATGGTGAACGCGGCTAATTTGAACCTCAGCCACTTGGGTGGTAAACCTATACTGTTGGCTAGTAGTAAAGGGGGCACCATACAGAATATACAAGGACAGAATGTGATTTTGCAGACGCAGAGTGGAGGTGGGGCGCCTTCTTTGGTGTTGCAGAACGCTGTTAAAGGTTCCGGTAATAATATCGGACAGTCGGGATCTAATAATATTAATATTATTAATCAGCAGAATATAGTTTTTAGGTAAGTTTGTTGCATGTTAATACTTTAATGCGACGCTGGGTTAATTTTGAGAAAGAAAAGTCAAAATTTTGAGAAAAAAAAGTTAAAATTTAGGAGAAAAAATTCAAAATTTTGAGAGAAAAAGTAAAAATTTTAAGAAAAAATAAAAAAATTGAAAAAAATAGTAAAATTTTGGGAACAAGTGAACAATTTGAGAAAGGCCAATTTTTTTTTTTAAAGTCGAAATTTTATAAAAAAATAAAAAATTTGGGAAAAGAAAGTTAAAATTTTGAGACAAAAGTCAAATGTTTTTGAAAAAGCCAAAGAGAAAAAAGTAAAAATTTTGAGAAAAAATAAAAATTTTGAAAAAAGAATCAAAATTTTAAGAGAAAAAAGTAAAAAAATATGAGAAAGCTAGTCAAATTTTAAAAAAGGCAAAATTTTGAGAATAAGTGAACATTTTGAGAAAAAAAGTTAAAATTTAGAGGAAAACAAGTCAGTTTTGAGAAAAAAGTCTTAGAAAAAAGCCAAAGAGAAAAAATTTAAAATTTTGAGAAAAGAAAGTTAAAATTTTGAGAGGAAAAAGTCAAAATTATAAGAAAAAGTCAAAAAATTGAGAAAATAGTCAAATTTTAAAAAGGCAAAATTTTAAGAATAAGTTAACATTTTGAGAAAAAAAGTTCAAATTTAGAGGAAAACAAGTCAAAATTTTAAGAAAAGTCTTTAAAAAAAAGACAAAAATAGTTAAAATTTTGAGAATAAATGAATATTTTGAGTGAATAAAGTTAAATTTTTGACAGTCAATTTTAAAAAAACTCGAAATTTAAAAAATTTTGAGAAAAATAGTCAAATATTTAAAAAAAAAACCAAAATTTTGAGAATAAATTTAAATTGTGGGGAAAAGTCAAATGTTTTAGAAAAAAACTCAAATTTTCGAGAAAAAATTCAACATTTTGAAAATAAAAAGTTAAAATTCCTAGATTTAAGTTTAAATTTTGAGAATGGTCAGAGTTAAAAAAAATATTGTCAAATTATGTAAAAAAATAGGTTTATACGAAAATTTAAAAAAAAAATGTCAAAATTTTGGGAGTAAAGTCAAAATTTTGAGAAGAAGTCAAATGTTTTAGAAAAAAGTCAAAATTTTAAAAAAAGAAAGTCATTTTGAGAGAAAAAGGTCATAATTTAAAAAAATATTAAAATTTTGAGAAAAATAGTCAATTTTAAAAAAGGTATTTTTTTGAGAATAAGAGGACATTTAAAAAAGTAGAAATATTATTTAGAAAAACCAAAATTTTGAGAATAAATTAAAATTTTGGGGAAAAAGCTCAAAATTTTGAGAAAAAATTCAACATTTTGAAAATAAAAAGTCAAAATTCCTAGATTTAAGTTAAAATTTTGACAATGGTGAAATTTAAAAAAAATTGTTAAATTATTTAAAAAAAAAAAAAAATAGGTTTGATAAAAATTGTTAATAAAAATGTCAAAATATTGGGAGTAAAGTCAAAATTTTGAGAAAAAAGTCAAAATTTTGAGAAAAATTCGAATGTTTTGGAATAAATCCAAAATTTTAAGAAAAATAGTCAAATTTTAAAAAAGGAAATATTTTGGGAATAAGAGAACATTTAAAAAAGTAGAAATATTATTTAGAAAAATCCAAAATTTTGAGAATAAATTAAAATTTTGGGAAAAAAGTCAAATATTTTAGAAAAAAACTCAAATCTTTGAGAAAAAATTCAACATTTTGAAAATAAAAAATTCCTAGAATTAAAAAAATGGTCAAATTAGACAAAAAATGTCAAAATTTTGGGAGTAAAGTCAAAATTTTGAGAAAAAAGTCAAAAATTTAAGTAAAAATTTTAGGACACAAAAGTAAAAAGTATTTTATTTTTACTTTTTTAAAATGTTTTTATGTGATGGTGACTTATTGATGATAAAGGTAAAACAATTCGAAAAAAGGCAAAATTTTGAAAATAAGTAAAATTATGGGTTAAATCAGTTTTGTAAAAAATATATTTAAACAAAAAATTGCAAATAAAGTTGTCAAAATTTTGAGAAAAAAGTCAAAATATGAGAAGTCGCAATTAAAAAAGATGCCAAAATTTTGCAAGAAAAATGTTTAGACAAAAATTAGTAAAAAAATGTAAAAATTTTAAGCATAAAGAGAAAGTATAGAAAAAAAATCAAAATTTTAGGAAAAATAAAGCAAAAGTTTATGAAAAAGTTAATTTCTATTTTTCTAATATTTATTTTTTTCTTAAAATGTCACGTCATTAATATGACATCGTAATTTATTGAATTATATCAACTCATATTAATAATAATTGTTGATACTTTATTATGACGGTATTGTATTTGATAAAAAGAAAACATCTCAAGAAAAAATTTAAAAATAAAATGTTTGAAAGGAAAAGATGTCAGAATTTTAAGAAAATAAAAAAAATTAAAATAAAGTAAAAAATTTGAAAAAAGTAAGTTTAAAAACAAAGAATTTTGAGAAAAAAAAAACTCGAATTGTGAGAAAATTTTGAAATATACGAAAATTTGACCGATTTAATTGAAATTTTCTTCAAATTAATATACATTCAATAATTTACTAAGCTGTATAATACCAATCTTCACTAATCACTCACTTCGTGTTTCGTTTTCCAGTCCGCAAATGAAAGTACAATCGCCGCAACAAGTGATGTTCACGTCTAAAGGCGGCCAGGCCACCCACCAATCGATATCTCAGGGACAAATCATGATCGGAGGACACCCGGTGCGTTTGCACACCAGCAACGCGACCAGCACGCAACGGGTGGTGCTGGCCTCGCAAGGACAAGGCGGACAAATAGTGGCGCAGCAAATTCTCCTACCCGCAGGGTTTCAAGGCACTGCCATTAATATTAAGGCGTTACAGGGTGTCAAGGTGATACCCATTGCTCAAGCGACTGGTCAAGGCAAAGGTGAGTTTGTTATTCAGTGTACTTGATATTTTATCTATTTGTTATAGTTTTTTAAGCTCAATTGATTTTGGGAGTGGGTCAGGTTATTAAATAACTCGGAATTACCTTGAAAAAGAAGTTGGGCACCACTATATTTAAAACTTACTATACTTGACTTTAGATTAGTGATAAAAATATAGAAAATCACTAACCATTGACAAATTATATTTAAACCAAGTTTTAGATAAGGTAGTAACAAATTCTAATTCACAGATATTTACTTAATTCAAATTTAGATGATTTATTTAAAAAAAAAAACACTTATTTGTTGTTAACAGGAGGTATTAATATAAGGAGTGATTTTCATGGAATTCTAGGCCTTTAAAGGGATTCGGGATCCTTATTCTTAATTCTGGACTTGAACAATATTGTGTCGATCTTTTCTAGGTGAACCAAACCTCGGTCTTCATATTGCACCAAACTCTTAGGCATAAAAACCATAAAACTTCTAGAGATAAATCCAAATAAACTGTCAAGATATAAATCTCCATGAACTTCTTGGTATAGATCCAAATAAATCGTTTAAATACAAATCTCCATAAACCGTCTAGATATAGCCAATGCTAAAAAGAAAAGGTTAAAATGTTAAGAGAGGAAATTGGAACAGGATTTATATAAAATGCTTTTAACCAATAAATGAACAACTTAAAACTATTAAGCGAATAATTTCACAGGGACTAAAATTAATATGAAAAGGAAAAATGTAAATGTCATTTTTTTTTAATAATAGAGCTGAGACATCGAGTATCGCTACTGTTCAATAATTTTCTTAGGACATTTTATTACATATCTGAAAACAGAAAATCAAAGTATGTGCTGAAAATGCACTCTTTCGTCGTCTTCTTATTCTTCAAATAGAATATAATAAAAACTTAGAGATTTCATAACTGCGAGTACATTTTTGTCCAAATTAATATTTCTATCACTCAGATAAGTATTTCCGATTCTCGTTTATACTTATCGATCATTTTTTGATTTTAGGGCTGCAAAGTCGCCAAGTGTTGGCCCACGTCGTGACGCCGAACGCTGTAAAGGCGACCAATCAAACGGCTGCTATGTCAGAAAAGATAACGGAAGTGACGCTGCCGTCCCAAGACGGCGAGTGATGTTAGCATACTAATTTAAATTTGTACATATTGTTGATAACTAAATTATTATTGTAGATTTAGATTAGTAAAAAGTGAGTAGAATGACAGCAGTTGTACATTATTTGATAGTGTTTCATCGGAAGAAATGTATATATTATAAAAAATAATTGATAATGATGTGTAAATATGAATTTTAAGTCTTTTTTTATTACGTTATTTATATGTATGAATTAACAAAGTGAACTTTTTATATATAAAAAAAATGAATTTTTGAATTGTATTTTTGTGTATCCCTTAAAATTGCTTTTAATCAACCCTTCAACTCGACTTGATTTTACTATAATCGGGATAGGCGTAGCAGCTAGAGCTGTGGCAAAACGTATGTATTCGTTACTCAGTAACGGGTAGTCGGTCAGATACGAAATACGAATTCGTTACTGTAGTTTAAATTTCGTTACTCGCATCCGCATCGTCGCATAACGCACAATAATACTTGAGAATACATACCGCCACGGTTCGGTGATGGCCCGATGGGCGATGCGAAATGCGAGTGTGGCCTTGATGCGAATCGACTATCGAACCGTACGTCGACTGGGACTCGGAGAGTTCCCAACGTACTTTTGTTTGTATTTATTTATTTCAGTTTTAAAGAATAGTATAATAGTTGTTTTTCTGTTGCGTATTGCAAGAATATAATATGTTTTTGTTTATTAAAGTTATGATTTTATAGAGTATTATTATTGTTTCTACTAGTGTGTTAGAAAAATATATATGTTTCTGTTCAACCTGTCTGACGATATTTTATTTTGCAAAACTTCACATCAGTTCTCATTGCTCATGCTCAGACTTTGTTACTAATTACAAATTCGCTATGTATTTATTTAACCAACGATTCGATATCTAATTTCATCCACACCCTATGTTAGACAGTACCAAAACCTAACAACCGAAGCAATGCGTACGTACGATTAGTTACCGACACCAATTCCGCATCCGCATAGACGTGTATGAGGTCCACACGATGCGTGTTCTGTAGATTCGTATCACAGTAACGAAAGTAACGAGTAACGAATATTTTTATACGGGTAGTCAGATCCGAAGTAACGAATACATACGGGTATTGATTTTCTCGTTACTTTTACAGCTCTAGTAGCAGCACTACATAAATAAATTATTAAATACATATAAATCATGTATTAATTCTGCAATATCAAAAAAATCCAGAAATAATAGTTTATCGTTCAATCGTCTCTTTTAAAGTAGTTCATAACTTCGCCTAGAGATGTTTCTGTATTATGACAGTCCATAATATACAGTTTAGAGGCATTAATAACGTATCGTTAGCGGAGATCTTACTTAGATTTGCTAAAATTCACTATTATTTCCTTCCCGTGATATAAGCGAACTTTAAATTTACAATGAAGGATGCATTTAACTTTATAAGTTCATTGATATGACCACAGAACGATATGACATCAAAACTAAATGCTATCTTAATTATTACTACAAAACACCGAATTTTTATAAGAACAAGGCCATAAATATTTAAAAAAAGAAGAAAATTTGACAGTGAATCAGTGCTGCCAATAGCCGTGTATTTAAGATTAAATAACAGAACTGAAATATTGACGGAGATTAAAATGACATTGTTAATGTAAAAATGTCATTTTAAACTTCGTTTAACACAACGGTGGAATCGGTAATCGGACTAAACCGAACGCTAAAAGGCTCGTTTGGATTAAAAAGTATTAAAAGAACGTGGCAGACCGAACGCAATAGATTCTTTCGTTCGTCCCATTGGTGTAGGAATGAACTACACCAACGTACACTAAACCTTTCGTTTGGCCCGGTGTAAAACCCACTATACCTTCCTGTCGGCGATGTGGTGTCCACTGGTGGATATTTTTTCCACCAACTATTTAGCAGGAGTGAATTACACTCGTCCATGTGTATAAGGAGGAAGTAAATTAGGGTAAATAAGGTGGTGTAACTGGTGTAATTTACACTGGTGGACACTACACCAATAGCGAACGAAAGAACCTAATGTATGTGAGTTCGGTCTGCCAAGTTCCTTTAACTCCTTTAACACTTTTAACTCCAAACGACCCTTTTAGCGTTCGGTTTAGTCCGATTAGTGACAGTTTAACACGCTTAAATGTCATTTAAAAGCACTCTAAAATTTGTCCCGCTCCAGCCCCTGACTATCCGAACTCGCCTAATGTGAGATTGTTATTTGGCAGTTTTGGCACTTGACATGTGTCATGTCATGTGGCAAATGGCAAGTAAAACAGACGTGTCCTGAAAAAAGTAAAAGTACAAAAGTTATAAAATTAAACAGACTGAAAATAATTTGAACAACAAGGCATGACAAAAACGAAAATATATTACCGCAATTCTAAATAACATAAAGTGAAAAATCAAGTGTTCGAAAAACTGTAATAATGGTGTTTTTTAAAATTACATTTATAGTGACTTAATTAAATTCGTAGTGCTCTTTCAATAATGCAATGCTTCCTAGACGACGCCGTACTGGCTCCGAAACCGAGCACCAAGTTGTAATTGGCAACGAAAGTTATTGGCCTCAGAATCAACCGAAAACTTTAAATCAATTAAACTCAGCCTACCCCAATAATGTAACAGCTGATTATTATTTAGAAGACTACGTTGAAGATTACGTTGAACCAGAATTAGTCATGACTGCGAGGGATAGGACTAGTGAATTTGTAAATACAATACAGACTTTACAAGGGAGGAACATTGCTAGAGCTGTAGCAGCCAGAGATCCAAAAAAATCTAAAGTTATACAGAGCCACTCTGAGTTTATGTTAATTGCTAGGAATGTGGGGAAAAATATTGCTAGCACTTATGCAAAACTTGAAAAATTAACATTGTGTAAGTGTTTTTATTATGTACACTACTATGTCATTCTTGTCAACTTGTCAGTAGACCAGACTGAGTTGTTTTAACAGTTTTTGGTCTCCATAATTATATTTTGACAAGAAAAGCTGTTAGGCATCCAATTATTGTCACAATATTTATGTATTATTTACTAATCTAACTAATAAAACTTCCTTTTTTATTTGCATAGGTCTTTATGACATATTTCTATGTTCTAATAGCAAATTTTTATTTTCTCATAGAAATTTTAGATAATTTAATAAGAGTTTAGACAATATAAAGGGAATTCTCATAGAATTTCTCCTGTGTTTTCAGTGGCCAAAAGAAAATCCTTGTTTGATGACAGGACAGCCGAAATCCAGGAATTGACTTATATAATAAAAGGTGACCTTAGTAGTTTGAATCAACAAATAGCCCAATTGCAAGATGTGTCTAAAAGGCAACGTCTGAACACAACTGGAAAGCATTTACAATCCCATTCTAGTAGTGTCGTGTTGGCTCTGCAGTCCAAGCTGGCCAGCATGTCTACTGACTTCAAGCAGGTCTTGGAGGTGAGGACGGAGAATTTGAGGCATCAGAAGAATAGGAGGGACCAATTTTCTCAAGGAGGGATGCCGCCGCCTAATGTTTCTCAAGCATCACAAGGTATAATAGTTTTTACATCATAAAATTATCTTAAAATCATGTAAAATCATAAAATTGTATAAAATCAATTAGAATTGTATATAATCTTATAAAGTCCTATAAAATTGTATAAATTCATATAAAATAAATCATAGAAATTCATAGAAATTTATAGAAATTCATAGAAATTCATAGAAATTCATAAGAAATCTTAAAAAATCATAAAAAATCACAGAAAATCATACAAAATCATAATCATAGTAATTCATAGAAATTCATAGAAATTCATAGAAATTCATAGAAATTCATAGAAATTCATAGAAATTCATAGAAATTCATAGAAATTCATAGAAATTCATAGAAATTCATAGAAATTCATAGAAATTCATAGAAATTCATAGAAATTCATAGAAATTCATAGAAAATCATACAAAATCATAGAAAATTTTAGAAAATCATAGAAAATAAATCATAGAATATCATAAAAAAATCTTAGAAAATTAAAGAAAATCATAGAAAATCCCACAAAGTTCATCAGTAATTAGTAACTGTATTTTTTAACCTATTAGAATAAGTTAAATTAATATACCTATCAAAACGTCAAAAAAAAATTGCTATAGGGTCGAGTAAAACCACATTTTAAAAGTATTTTTCATGTTTTGCATCTGTTTTGTTTTTTGACATAACTGGTGTTATGATGATGTATTGTATATTTAAATACTTGATAGTGGTAATGTAAATTATGAGTAATTTCAATGTATCACATTATTAGAGTGAATAGTTCAAATGAACAACGTCAAAAAACATATTTTTGATAAAATAGTGAATAGTTCAAATGTATCATGATTAAAACTTCGTTTTCTTGCTAATTATTTTGTTATTAAAGCAAATAGTTCAAATGTACCACATTAAAAATTGGATTTCTGATCAATTACTGTTATTTAATCTAGTAGCTCAAGTGTACCATGTTTAAAAATGGTAGTTCTAATAAATTATCGGTGAATAGTTCAAATGTACTGCAATCAAAAACGCATTTTTGAAATCAGTTATTAAAAGGAATATTTCAAAAGTATTACATCAAAAATAGTGTTTCTGATGAACTAACAGTTTTTAAAGTAAATAGTTCAAATGTACCGTGATCAAAAATCGTATATCATAGAAAATCATTCATAGAAAATCATAGAATATCGTAGAAAATCATAGAAAATCATAAAAAATCATAAAAAATCATAGAAATTCATAGAAAATTATAAATAATCATAGAAAATCATAGAAAATCATAAAAAATCATAGAAAATCATAGAATATCATAGAAAATCATAAAAAATCATAGAAATTCATAGAAAATTATAAATAATCATAGATGATAATCATAGATAATCATAGATAATCATAGATAATCATAGATAATCATAGATAATCATAGATAATCATAGATAATCATAGATAATCATAGATAATCATAGATAATCATAGATAATCATAGATAATCATAGATAATCATAGATAATCATAGATAATCATAGATAATCATAGATAATCATAGATAATCATAGATAATCATAGATAATCATAGATAATCATAGATAATCATAGATAATCATAGATAATCATAATCATAGAAAATTATAGAAAATTATAGAAAATTATAGAAAATTATAGAAAATTATAGAAAATTATAGAAAATTATAGAAAATTATAGAAAATTATAGAAAATTATAGAAAATTATAGAAAATCTTGGAAAATCCTACAAAATTACTTAATCAGTAACTGTATTTTTTAATCTTTTAGAATAAGTTGAATTAATATACCTATCAAAACGTTGAACAAAAATTGCCACATTTTAAAAGTATTTTTCATGTTTTGCATCTGTTTTGTTTTTTGACATAACTGGTGTTATGATGACGTATTGTATATTTAAATACTTGATAGTGGTAATGTAAATTAGTTATAAATGAGTAATTTCAATGTATCACATTATTAGAGCGAATAGTTCAAATAAACAACGTCAGAAAACATATTTTTTGTTATTAAAGCAAATAGTTCAAATGTACCACATTAAAAATTGGATTTCTGATCAATTAACTGTTATTTAATCTAGTAGCTCAAGTGTACCATGTTTAAAAATGGTAGTTCTAACAAATTATCGGTGAATAGTTCAAATGTACTACAATCAAAAACGTATTTTTGACAAATTATCGGTTATTAAAGGGAATAGTTCAAAAGTATTACATCAAAAATAGTGTTTATGATAAACTAACAGTTTTTAAACTAAATAGTTCAAATGTAACACATTAAAAATTGGATTTCATATTCATTGGATTTCATATTCATTTGATATTCATCATAATTTTGTGCTAATTGTTGGTTGGAATTTTTTTTTATCGCAAGATTCATAAACTAGACACTTCAAGCTTCAAATTGCTTTTTTTTTTTTATTCACGTACGTCCATTTTTACCAAAGATACAGCCACTCGAAAAATCAAAAAAAATTGAGATTTTTTTGATCCCTTAATATTTTTCACTAGTGTAGTTCAAATGTACCATGATCAAAAATCGTATATCTTATAAGTTACCAATTATTAGAGTTAATACTTTAATGCATCATGTCAAAAATTGTGTTTTTGATACTTTAACATAGTTCCAATGTACTACTGTTGAACATCAGTTATTTTATTTGGTTTTTATAATATGAAAGAAAAATAGAGATCTTCATTAATTTTAAAATAAATTCTAAAAATATTGCCTTGTTCTCTTTAGCATCGTCAATGTTTTTTATTTTTTTTTTTAGGGAGCCTGTTACTGCAAGAAGACGATCAAGTTAGCATTAATCTAGAAAGCACCGCGTTGATACCGAAAGGGCAAAGTCAAATGCAGGCCGCTTTGATGTACGACCACACCGACAACTATCTGCAAAGCCGCGCGGAAACGATGCAAAACATCGAATCGACGATCGTAGAACTAGGCGGCATTTTCCAACAATTGGCCCACATGGTGAAAGAACAAGAGGAAATGGTCGAACGAATCGACAGCAACGTCGAGCACGCCGAATTGAACATCGAAGCGGCGCACGCGCAGATTGTTAAATATTTCAAAAGCGTCTCGTCGAACAGGTGGCTGATGATCAAAGTTTTCGGCGTTCTGATTGTTTTCTTTATATTTTTTGTTGTATTTTTGGCATAGATAAATATTTTAAATACTATATATATTGTAAGTTTTGTATAAAGTAATATATTTCACTTATATACTTTTGTGGGACTCATTTTGAGCTGTTGGAATATTTTTTTCAATTGAGTATTAATACGGTTTCGAATTTTATTTATTGCAGACGTGAAATGGAAGATCAAACCTTTAGTTGTGCTTTGTTTATGTTGAAGGAAATGATGTGGTATTGGCGTCAGTTACAGGTTGCCCTTTGGTAAATTTTAATTCAAATCCGGAACCGGAGATTGATTGCCAAACTCTGGAGACTCTAGGTCAAAATTACATTGTTAGCAACCTTAAGATAATGACTATAATCAAAAATAAATAACTTAATTATTTTTGGCTTGTGATCGTTCTACTTATAATATCTCTAAAATGAATATTTAGTTATCACTGAGTTGTCTGTAAGGCCAGAAAATAGGATTTTCATATAAAATTTGGGGGAATTTTAACAGAAATAAGTGGTTTGTATAGTTAAATTTGTATTTAAAAGCTCTACAAACTGGTTTTTACTAATTCATGCTAGGTTGTCTGCAAGGCAAGATAATAGGATTTTCAGATTGAATTTTATGAGAAATTGAGAAAAACGTTTGTGATAAATAATTATTAAATAAATATTATTAGGTTATTGCATTCTTCTATACTTTTGACATTTCCTTGGCCTCTTTCTAAAATAGATTTTAGTAATATTCTTTTTTATTTCTTATTGCGGTCGACCTTTATCTAATGTGATTACAAAGTCTAAAAAAACCTTAGCCAAATTATCGATTTAAACAGGCCAGTGTTTATGGCCAATTTTCTTAAAGAAAGAGGCCAAAGATATTCCATTGGTATAGAAGAAGACTTGACATTTGACAGATTTATTTAAATTTCTCTAATTTCCCTTATAAATTGTTATTTATTTAATACATGGTTGGAAACCTATATAAATAAATATACTATCAGTTTCGTAGGTTTGTAACAATTTAAACTATGTAATTTGTGTTGTCAAATAAGTTTGCCGGCGTACGCTTAGTATGCACCGTTTAGATCTCAAAAAAATACTCGGTTCCCATTTAAAAGAAATAGTTTAAAAGCCGAGACCCATTTCTCAAAAATAAACGAAGATAAAGAGAAATACAAACTAGCCAGACATTTTAAATTATTTACTTTAATGCTGTGCTTACTTTCATTATTTATACATGTCTACCTCGCATTCCTGTTATCCTAATACAAATTCTATATTATTAAAATTAGTTAAAAATTCGATTTAATATTTTTGGCGCCTTTTTCAAAATACCTCCCATACCTACTCGCTCTTCTGTTATCCTGATACAAAGTTCCAAATTCGAAAAGGTCTAATTTGTTAATAAAATTTTGGTATTAGGATAACAGAAAAGCGACAAGGTATTTGACATATTTTTAAATGCGAATAACTACTAAACGGCTTAAGATAGAGACAAGCGCCATAGAGCATTTTAAATTATCCGTCCGACTCTACCTTCATGTGAATTTAAGGAGTAATTCGATCATTATTAACTGAGGAATTAAGAAAAAATAAGTTAACCCTTATAGATAGGGAGCAACTGAGTTCGTCCCTTATTTTCTTGGGCTCTCCTTTATATGTACCCCAATTTTCATCAACATCGGAGACAAAAAAATTTTTTGTCAAAAAATAATGAAGGCTATACCCTTTCGATTTTTTTGAAAAAATGAAAAGCATTTAAAATCTGCATACGCATAGAATGTCACATTTAGAGCTCAAAAATACACTCAGTTTTTTTCTAACAGCAATAATAAAAAAGTTGTGGCTCATTTTGCAAAAAGTATCGTAGATAGAGAGAAGCAGACACCTGCCAGACATTTTAAATGAAATACTGTACCTGTGTGCCAAATTTCGTAAAGATATGAGCAAAAATAAAAAGTTTCGATATCTCCTCGCTTTTCTATTATCCTGATACAAAGTCCGAATTCGATAAGGATAGCAGAAACGCGACAAGGTATTTGGCGTATTTTTAAATGCGAATAACTACTAAACGGCTTAAGATAGAGACAAGCGCTATAGAGCATTTTAAACTATCCGTCCGGCTCTACCTTCATGTGAATTTATGGAGTAATTCGATCATTATCAACTGAGGAATTAAGAAAAAATAAGTTAACCCTTATAGATAGGGAGCAACTGAGTTCGCCCCTTAATTGGTCGTGCTCTCCTTTACATGTACCCCAATTTTCATCAACATCGGAGACAAAAAAATTTTTTATCAAAAAATAATGAAGGCTATACCCTTTCGATTATTTTGAAAAAATAAAAAGCGTTTAAAATCTGCATACGCATAGAATGTCACATTTAGAGCTCAAAAATACACTCAGTTTTTTTCTAACAGCAATAATAAAAAAGTTGTGGCTCATTTTGCAAAAAGTATCGTAGATAGAGAGAAGCAGACACCTGCCAGACATTTTAAATGAAATACTGTACCTGTGTGCCAAATTTCGTAAAGATATGAGCAAAAATAAAAAGTTTCGATATCTCCTCGCTTTTCTATTATCCTGATACAAAGTCCGAATTCGATAAGGATAGCAGAAACGCGACAAGGTATTTGGCGTATTTTTAAATGCGAATAACTACTAAACGGCTTAAGATAGAGACAAGCGCCATAGAGCATTTTAAATTATCCGTCCGACTCTACCTTCATGTGAATTTATGGAGTAATTCGATCATTATTAACTGAGGAATTAAGAAAAAAAAGTTAACCCTTATAGATAGGGAGCAACTGAGTTCGCCCCTTAATTGCACATGCTCTCCTTTACATGTACCCCAATTTTCATCAACATCGGAGACAAAAAATTTTTTTATCAAAAAATAATGAAGGCTATACCCTTTCGATTATTTTGAAAAAATAAAAAGCGTTTAAAATCTGTATACGCATAGAATGTCACATCTAGAGCTCAAAAATATACTCAGTTTTTTTCTAACTGCAATATTTAAATAGTTGTGGCTCATTTAGCAAAAAGTACTGAAGATAGAGAGCAGCAAACACATGCCAGACATTTTAAACTAAATACTGTAACGTTGTGCCAAATTTCATAAATATCTAAGCAAAAATAAAAATTTTCCATATCTCCTCGCTTTTCTGTTATCCTGATATAAAATCTGGCATTAAAATTGGTTAAAATTCCAAACATAATAATTTTCCTGCCTTAAAAAAAAACTATATCTGGTTGCTCTGTTATTATTGATACAAAATCTGGTAGATAAATTATAACGTGAACTCAGTTGCATTCTATCTATATGATTTCAATTATTTCTTGAATTTCCTCATTTAATATTTGTTAAAACTGAATCATTTTTATTTTGTAAGATTCAGTATGTATTTTGTTAACTTGATTGTAGTTTTACTGTTTCTAGTTCCATTCCATATTTGGATCATTTTTGAAAATATATTTGGACGATTAGTTCATCTTGTATTTTACACTATTATTCTTTAAATTCAAACAAAGATCTATAGAACAAATATAAAACAGGCAACACAGAATACACCTGTTAGTAATAATGGTTGCCTGTAATCATGAACGCCATCTGTTGAAAAATAGCTAAAACAATATAGTTTCCTTTAATTTTGTATTTGCCAATAGATGGCTGAGTGTATAGTTTCAGCATTTGCTAATAGATGGCTTTTGTGAAAATTTTCATCCATTTCTTATCCATTTTCATAAAAATTAAAGTTATTTTAGAAAATAAAACAAAAAAATCGAATGAGATGTTTATTTATGACAAATACATAATTTAAAATATAAAAGATTAATTACAATTTTACATTTTACAAAACACAGCTATTATTTTAAATATTCGCTTTTGTTTGTTAGGCAACCATTATTACAGATTAACGTATTCTGTGTTGCCTTCTAAGTGCAAGACTATGTTATGTTGGGAATGGGGTGTTAATACACTGCGACCTAAAAGATCTATTGTTTCCCCTTCTGTCGCTAATGCACCAAGGAAATGTCTCAATACCCATAACGACCCTTCCAATCCTATCTTCTCAAGGAAGTTAGGTAAATCTTTCTCTTCTATTTGATATCCTCCTAGATATAGTGCCCTTGGATTCTGGAGTGCTACACATTCAGTTAGGATGTGTGAATGGAGGTTTCGTTCTCCTCCTCACAGAATCTGCACTGACTATCTCTACTACTCTCAGTTTACTTAGGTGTCCTTTTAAGCGGTAATGATCCCTGTTAAAATACGTAGCCTGTCCACTTTAACCGATTTCTGCTGCATATGTGTTTGGCTACTACAGCGGCCTCTCTTGGGGGCCTGCTTACCTTAGTTGTGTCCCTTATTAGCAAAGGTGTGAGTTTCAAGAGGCGAGCTCTTTCCTCCTCTCTCTGTGAAGCTTTGGTTTCTTTAATGCCATAACTGTATCAACTCTCCCATTTGCCAGGGCCCTGTGCAGTCTAGCTACCGCAGGTAGAGTTTAAACTAATAGAACAGGTATTTTTTTATGATCTGGGCATTGTATTCTGTGTACGCAGATTTTTTGAATTTTTATTTTGCCAAAAATGAGCATTTGCACCATTTTTGACATGGTACATTTGAACTATTCACTGAAATAACCAACAATTTACAAATTAATTCCATTTGAGTGCTCGTCTCTTCCATTCTAGAATCTGTAGAAACATTAGGTATATTTATTCAGTCAGAAGATGCAGGTGTTAAGATAAAAGAAAACAAACCATCAATGTTCAGCTTTTTTAATGAAAATTATATTAAAGGAATATAACAAAATTTCATCCAAGATACATATCAATTTCCTCGTTATTATTGTACAATATATACGGAAGGCAAATAAAAACAAAAAAAAATAGGTAAATGGTATAGTAAAAAAAACCGCCAAAAATTTATAATACAATACAAGAAAAAAAAACGAGTGTATTTAATTCAGATTTGTGCTGTAAACGGACCGTATTAATAATAACGCGAAATTACAACGTTCAACATTCAATTAACGTGTTAAAATTAGTTATAATTTCCCATTACTAGCGATACAGCCGTGTAATCAGATTGTCGATCTAAATTATAAAAGCTAATAAAGGATAAATATTTATTTACTTATAAATTAAACTCGTCGTTTTTTGGCAAGGTGCATCCTTCAATTGACTAAATATTGCAGCGATGATACGTTAACTCCTAAATAAAATACGCACAGCGAGTGTGATCGTAATTTCCTCGTTTTCTACAAACTTTTTTTCGATACGAACAGTTTTAGAGCATCAACTATGCTTTCACACAAATTTTAGACAGTTTAGGTGTCTTTATTTAATCCATTTAGATCCTAAACAGTCATTTAATCAAATAGCAAAAATTCTTTTTATTAAAATGTCACACTGGACAGTGTGACTTATTAAATATTGCAGTAAGCCACATTTTTTATTAAAACTTTAGGAATGTCTTAGTTAGTGTGACTTATTAAACATGTCTGTAGCAGCGATTTTAAAATATTAACTATCACACAACCTTCAAACGTTTTTCATTATGTCACAGTATTTATTTTTTCCAAATAAAGTGTAAAATACGTTCATTATTGTGACTTATTAAATATTTATGTACATTAGACTTTTAAATTAAATTCTTCATAACAAATGTTACAGTTGTGCAGTGTTCTCATTAAAATTGTTTCTGTAAGTCACTTTATATAAAAATAGGAACAAATGTTACACTAGGAATGCTCGTTTAATTAGTGTGACATTAAATATCACACAAACTTTTTATTATCCCAGTAAAGAAAAGTCTTTGGAACAAATTTTGATCTTTCACTAGTGAATTATTAAATGTTTCTGTACATTAGACAGCAGGCATTAATTTCGTCAGAATAATTGTCACACATAAAGGGTTTTTAATTAGTGTGACTCATTAAATGTTTGTATAAGCCACATTTTTTACTAAAACGTAAGGAAAATACTTTTTTTATTAGTGAAAGTTAATTAAATGTTTCTGTATACATTTGAATTTGGAATAAGTGTCATACTTGCTTATAATTAGTGTAAATTATTATTGTTCCTAGTATAAGCCATTTTTTATTAAATAAATAGAATAAATTAGTGTGACTTATTAATTGTAGCTGAGATTAAGATGTTAAATTCCTCAAATTTAAAACGTTTTTAATTATTATCCATCAAGTTATACTTCTGAATACATTTTTTGGAATAAATGTCACATTTAAATAGTTTTTCATTAGTGTGCATTATTAAACATCCTTGAAACAAGACTCAGAATAAATACTTTAAAGCAAAGGTTACAGTTCATTTGTGCAACTTATTTTTTCATTAGTTTGTGTATTTAAATGATTTTCTATGGCTGTAATACAAAATTAAACTTTCTCAACTAATGTTGATTACATTATTTTTCATTAGTGAGAATTTAAATGCTCTTGCAGCAAGAATTCAGGGTAAATCCTTTGGAACTGCAGCTGCAAAGTTTCTGTAATCAATTTTTCTAATACAACTTTAGGCACAAATGTAACACTTTAACAGTGTGTGTTGTAAGCCTCATTATTTTATTGAACCGTTTGGAACAATGCCACATTTAAATGTTCTATCATTAGTGTGAATTATAAAATATTGTTTTAAAGCAGTTTTTGACTGATATTTTCCTTTCTTTACATTATACTTCACATTAAATTCTGTGTCATTAAAGAAATTATTACATGTTTGCAGCAAAACTCAAGATAACTCCTTTGGAAGAGTTTACAGTTAGTTACATTTTTTTATTAAAACGTTAGGCACAAATGTAACGTTAGTGTGAGATATTAAAATCTGTTTTAAGGCGGTTTTTTGACGGTTTTAAATTATTCTTTGCTTGGAATTTCTGTTTATAATACAGTATGTACAAATGCGGAAGTAATTATTGTTTTGCTGGTTAAAGGTAGTGTAAAGAAAACGGGAGGAAATTTTTCGTTCACCGCTGCATTTTTATGCAAACCAACAATTCGAGGATTCGCGAAATACTGACTACAAGGCAGAACGATTAAAAACGAGAAGCGGTAAAAGCGGTTAAGTCCCGATTATTATTTTCCGACGTACCATCGCTGCAAACCACCGGACGCGACGTTGCCAAAACCGAACGATCGGACCACTCCTTTGAGGTTATTTATGTTTCACGGTTAAACATAATAAGTGAAAAATTCGTACTTTGACTTATAAGTTAAATAAAAAAATACATAACAGAACGATAGATAACTTAATATCATGCATACCGGGGAGAGGGTCGGGGGGGGACACTAACCAAAAATGTTGAATTTGACGTTCCCCATTAGTTATGCATGCCTGTTAGTAGCGGCGGTGGGCCGGGGACCGCTGGAGCTTCTGTTCTGGTTTTGTCGGGGGCGGTTGTAGCCGTTGTTTTGGTAGTATGATTGGTTGGCGGCGGCGGGCCGGGGCGGGCCTCTGTTCGCTGGCGGGGCTTCTTTGCCCAGCTGGATGGGCTCCTCGGATCGGAGCGATTCGTCAATTCCGTTGTTGCCGATCTGCATCTGGGGTACTTGATGGTTGGCGGCTGTCAGATTGTTGGGTATCGACGCGAAGTGCGGCGGCAAAGGAACGGGATGGGGCTGATGCGCGCCGAAGTTTTGGTTCGTGAATGTTTGAGTGGTTATTTGTTCGGGAGGGTCGATTTCAGATTCCTGAAACATTAATTAAAAGATTTTTTTTTTAAAGACAACTTTATAGCTATAAAACAATATTTTTGAACGTGGTACATATGAACTATTCATTCACTTTAAATACTGTTAATTTATGATAGTTTTAATATAGGTGTGTTTTCTCTGAAACTTGAACTTTCAATATATTACTGACATAATTTTTTGCAATTTTTCGTATTATTGCGTTATTTTTTTGTATTTAAAATTCACCATTTAGATCGTTTGTATCTCTAGTGTACTGTAAACAGATAAATTTAACAAATACGATTTTTAATATGGTACATTTGAACTATTCGCTTTAATGACCAATAATTTAGAAAGATAAGATACTTTGAAAGTAGTACATTCGATCTAGCATTTTTAAACCTGGTACATTTTAACTACTTATTTAAATTTGTCAAAAATGTTTTAATGTGGTACCATTGAACTATTTACTTGACGGTGGCGCATTTGAACTACTCAAACATGGTACATTTGACCTACCAGCTTTAATAACCATTAATCATAAATAAACAATATTTGAACATTGTATGTTAGAACTATTCATCTTAATTACCGAAAATTAGTTACAAATACGATATTTGAAGTAATATTTTAGGAAACTGATCTATTTTTAAACCCAGTACATTATGATTAGTTTCTGACCGTGATTCACTTGAACTACTTATCTGAATGACTGGTAACTCAGTGGAAATAAAGTATTCATACATTTGAGAGTGGTACATTTGAATTACTAGCTGTAATAACCGTTAATTAATCAAAAATACGATTTTCGGACGTACAACATATTCATTTTTTTTACTTTAACACAAGTTATGTTGATCAGAAACACGATTTGAAGGCGGTATATTTGAACTATTCGTTTTAACTAATGACAGTTTATTATAAACTTAATTTTTAATGCTTTCTCTAACTGATTAGTAAATATATCATTTTCGATCATGATACAATTGAACTATTCAGCTTATCAGAAAAATAATTTTTGAAGTGGCACAATTGGTCTACTGACCTTATTAACAGATTTGTCGAAAATACGGTTTTGATCGCGGTACATTTAAATTATTAAAAAAAAAAATTATTTGTTTATCAATAACACGATTTTTGACATGATACATTAGACCTACTTCCTTCAATACCGATAATTTATTAGAATTACATTTTTTTAACGTGGTACTTTTGAACTATTTTTTCTAAAAACCGATAATTAGTATAAATACGATTTTTTATCATGGTACAATTGAACTATTCATTTTAAAAACAATTTTTTAATCAGAAACATACTTTTTATTGTGATACATTTGAACTACTAGTTTTAATAACCGTTTATGTCGGAAATATGATTTCGATCATAGTATATATGAACTATTCACTTTAAAAACTTTATATTTCTCATCAACACGATTTTTAATATGGTATTACATGGACACAAAGAACCTAAAAATACCTTTTATATGAGGTATCATTCGACCCTACGCCTATTTTTTGTTTAATTTTTGTAAATACAACGCCTCTAAATTATATATCATTCATTACACGATTCTTAATGTGATACATTTGAACTATTCACTTTAATAATCGTTAATTGATCAAAAATACTATTTTCGAATGTAGTGTACGTTTGAACTATTTACTTTTATCAAATGCTGCTTTATCAGAAACACAATTTCTAACGTAGTACATCTGAACTACTAGATTTAATAAGCTTTAATTGATCAAAAATACTATTTTCGAATGTGGTACGTTTGAATAATTCACTTTAACAAAAGCATAATTTTTAACGTAGTACATTTGAACTACTAATTTTAATAAACGTTAATTGAGCAAAAAAAATATTTGAACGTGGTACGTTTGAACTATTCCCTTTAATAAATGTTTGCTCATCAGAAACAATTTTTGAATAGAGTATATTTGAACTACTAGTTTTAATAAGCGTTAATTGATCAAAAATACTATTTTCGAAAGTGGTACGTTTGAACTATTCCCTTTAATAAATGTTTGTTAATCAAAAACACATTTTTAAGAGGGTATATTTGAACTACTAGCTTTAAAACCCGTTAAATTATAAGAAAATACTATTTTCGAACGTGGTACGTTTGAACTATTAATTTTAACAAATGTTAATTTATCGGAAACACAATTTCTAACGTGGTACATTTGAACTATTCTCCTTAATAACCGTTAATTGATCAAATATACTATTTTCGAATGTGGTACGTTTGAACTATTTACTTTAACAAATAGCAGTTTATTAAAAACATCATTTTTAACGTAGTACATTTGAACTACTAATTTTAATAAGCGTTAATTGATCAAAAATACTATTTTCGAATGTGGTACGTTTGAACTATTCCCTTTAAAAAATGTTTGTTCATCAGAAACACATTTTTAAACGGGGTATATTGGAACTAATAGCTTTAATAACCGTTAATATATAAAAAATACTATTTTCAAACTTGGTATGTTTAAACTATTAACTTTACCAAATGTTAGTTTATCAAAAACACGATTTTTAATGTGATATATTTGATCTATTCGACTTAATAACTGTTAATTGATCAAAAATAATGTTTTCGAACGTGGTACGTTTGAACTATTAACTTTACCAAATGTTAGTTTATCGGAAACACGATTTTTAACGTGATACATTTGAACTATTCGCTTTAATAACCGTTTATTGATCAAAAATACCGTTTAAGAACGAGATACGTTTGAACTATTCACTTTAACAAATGGCAGTTTATTAAAAACGCAATTTTTAACGATGTACGTTTGAACTATTTTCTCTAAAAACTGATAATTAGTATAATAAAGATTTTTGACCATGGTATAATTGAACTATACGCTTTAAAGTTTTTTTTTTTATTAGAAACATACTTTTTTAACATGGTACATTTAAAGTACTGGTTTTAATAATTGGTAATTTGTCGGAAATATGGTTTTGATCGTGGTACATTCGAACTATTCACTTTTTATAGTGACATTTTTCATTCATCATCAAAAGTACGTTACGCACCTGCAAGAAGAAGAAGCTTCCGGTGCCCAACATCTCCGTTATAGGCCTCGGAGGTTGGGGCTGGACAGGCGGTTGCGGCGGAGGCGGATGCTGTTGAGGTAGTTGCTGATAAAAAATGTTCGATTCCGGATTCATGCCCTGTTCCAACGCGGGCGGCGGCGGTGGTTGTTGTTCCACCACCGTCGGAGGCGGTTGTTGGTGGATGGTAGTTCTGCTTTCTATTGTCAAAGTTTCGATGAGCGGTAGAGCGTGCGTCGGTATCGCCGCCGGAGGCGCTTCCAGCGGAGGTTGTTGAGTGGGCGACGGCGATAACTCGACAACTTCGTTACTGTTGTTTAGCGGTTCCTCGGGTACCACGGGCTCCGGTTCGGGTACCAGTTCGGCTTCGACGTATTCCTCAAACACCTGCTATAATTATTATAAATTTGATATATATCTCAATTTAAAGAGAAATTAACGTAAAATTCTACACAAATTAAATAAAAAATCGAATAATGTCCACTGCAAAAGAGAAACAAGATAAAAGTGTCTTGTAATGATAATAAATGTCGATATATTTTTTTTCAGAACTCACAAAATTATCTTCATCCAAAACAGAAATCTGTTATTTTAAGACTTTTTTTTTTGTTTCTTACCTGCGTTTGATCGAAATACCCGCTCTCGTGGATTTTTCCTAATATTTCCTTGATCTGGGTGTAGGTACCGCCAAATACTTCTTTCGGTTTGCCGTCAACGGCTGCCAAAAGATGTTCGGCGGCCGCTTGCACCTCATTCATGAAGGCCGTAGCGTTGCCTGCTTCATGTTTCGGAGTCACGGCGGGATAAAGGTCGTCCAATAATCTTTCAATTATAAAGAAATAGGTAAATTTGTGGGAAAGATACGCCCCAAAGGAAGGGCCTCAGTAATTTTGTTGTATTTCTCACAAAGACCTTTCTTTGGGGGCATATAACATATTCTACATTTAAATATCTACATGTGATGAACTTTTTACCTATCTAGCGTTTATTTATCCACATCGAACACATTTACATAATATTACTTGGAATTTATTTTCTGTAATGTATTTTTGAAACAAATAAATATCAGGTGATCAAAGATTCACAACATCTCAGATGCATCCAATGTGGATAAACAAATGCAGCATTAGTATGTGAGATTTTAGTGGCCTCAAGTTTTTAACAAAATTTAATTGTCTAAAAAAGTAGGAGGTTAAAGTGGTGAGAAACCCTTTTAAAAACCTATAGAATTAAAGAAATTTAAAACGCCACCAATTCCATTCTATATTTACATCCCATGTACATTTTCATAAAAATATGTAAAGCCTTTTTAAAATAAGAGCAAAAAATATATTTTTAAACGTGGTACGTTTGAACTATTCCCTTTAATAAATATTTGTTTATCAGAAACACATTTTTTAACGGGGTATATTTGAACTATTAGTTTTAATAACCGTCAATTTATTAAAAATACAATTTTCAAACGTGGTACGTTTGAACTATTCCCGTTAATAAAGGTTTCTTCATCGGAAACACATTTCTTAACAGGTTATATTTGAATTACTAGCTTTAATATTTTTCAAAAATACTATTTTCGAACGTGGTACGTTTGAACTATTAATTTTACTAAATGTAACACCATGTAACTTTTTTACTATCCCTTTTTTAACAATGTATATTCGACCCCAGAAATTGTGCTCAAATTTACTGTGCATCTTTTTGTTACACCATGTATAAAAAAATTTGGAAAACAAGAAAATTATTTTCTTAAAATTGGACTAACTCTTTACAGAATCAAATAAAAAAAAATCATCATTAGTTTCATTTAAGTAGCAGTTTCATTTAAGTAGCAGTTTCATTAAGGTATAAAGTATATTTATTTTTGTGGTATATTTATAAGTGTCCTTCACCTAGGTGGCAGAATTAAAATATAAATATGTATATTTAAAGATAAGTTACTGATATTCTCTATTTAAGTCCCTCTCTGTATTTTTCAGACTTTTTATGGCCTCCATCTTTTCCGTAAACAAAAATATTCATTATGTTGAATTGATCAACCTCTAAAAACCCCTCAAGACCCAACAATAGACACCGCCAGTCCTAGAGAATGATTATTCTGGAATACACTGGATGTTTCAATGAATGATAATAAAATTACAAATTCTAGTGGATGCACCAGTCTAGAAAATTGTAAATGAGAATATTATTAGTCGAATGACGTCTGGAATCTTCGAAAACAAGTCTGGAGCGCCACATTTATCATTATAAACTTACTTTAGATCCGTTTCACTTAATTGAGCAGCTCCGTTTCGTCCTTGCAAAAAATCCTCTCTAACATTTTCGTTTCCCATTTGGTTAAGGGCGTCCTGCACCAGCAAGATTTCCCTCAGCCTCGCCAATTCGGCTTGGTATTTCGCGGCCGCCTCTTTTTTCGCATTCTTTTTCGCTTCCTTTTCGGTGGACACGGCGATACCTAGGAACTGTTTACATAAATCTCTAGCGAAATCTAACGTGCTAATCACTTCGTTGAATTTCGCCACTGCAGTCTTTTGATCGGCGTTCAGTTCTTTTCCGGCCTTTTGTAATTCCTGATACGATTCTAATTTTGACTGAAATACAAAAAAAATTACTAAATAAATAAAATAATTACAAATACCGGCCAATTTGAACGTTCGTTCTCTTGTGGCAAATTTTGATGAATTTCTGAGTTTGGTAAATGAGTTTGACTGTATTGCTGTTACTGAAACATGGTTGTTAAGTCCAATTTTCCGCGCGAAATAATTTTAAATTTGAATACTGTGACGAAAGTCTAATTTATTTAAAGTATATTTATTTAAAAACGCACTATTTACAATTTATTTTAGACGTACTATTTAATTTATGTAATATTTAGAGACTAACAATTCTAATTTTAACTTTTTCAATACAATGTTCTATATTATACTAAACTCGGCGCTGATACGTCGGCTATTTATATTAGTCCAACTCCGCTACTAGAAAATGCTAGAGGCTCTCGACGGTCGTCTCGAACATTCCATTCCTATGACTAAACGGTACTCTCCGCCGTTCCAGCTGTTTCTCGAGCCTCAGCGGCATTCCCAGAACATTCCGTCGCCTCGAGCACGAGTCGGTCGAGCGTATACAGGGTAGGCTTTAAGAATTTCATAACAATATCAAACCTAAGTACCGGAAACACTTGAGAATTACGATGGGAGACGAACAATTCCGAAGTGCGAGAAGATGAGTGCGATATATGTGTCATGTCGGCATTTGGGCCCCTTTAAAAAGGCTCCCCTTGAAATCTTATTTCGTATTTGTTGTAGCTAACAATAAAAAATGCAGTTACAAGTGTTTTAATAGGGTCCTTTGAAATACGGCAGAATCCCAACAATGGTTGTTTGCAAATATTGATACAAACACCATTTCAATACCTGGATTCAATTTTTACCAACTTGATAGACAGTCTAGAGGTGGCGGGGTTGGTCTTTATTTAAATAATTATATTACTGGTTTACAATTAGTTGAATTTAATTCTTCTGACTTAAACTGTGAGCAATGTGGATTAAATTAACGAAAAAACGGTTTTCGCGTTTGAATTGGAATTATATATCAACCACCTAAAGGTAATGTGTTCATTTTTATTGATAGTATTGACTCTACTTTGTCAAAAATTCAGCCTACAGTTGATCACATTATTTGCGTAGGTGACATAAATATTGATTTGTTAACAAATGATAATCCATCTTGTTTTGATATCTACAACTTATATCAATCTATAACTGAACCTACTAGAATAACATCCACCTCGATGACTCTGCTTGATCTTATTTATATAAGTGATTGTAGTTTGGTAAAATACCCAGGTGTAAACCAAACAAATTTTTCTGACCATAGGTACTCTTTCTGTAGTTTGGAATTTACAAAAAATAAGAAAGAAACCTACATTTTATACGTTTGGAGATTTTAAAAATTTTGATAATGATTTAATAAATACTCCATTTCATAAAATTTTCAATATTAAAAATATTGATGACAAAGTGCAGTTTCTCACAGAACAAGTTATTCTCTTGTTTGATTAACATGCGCCATTAAAAACTATACGTTATGCAATCAAATTACTAATTAGGAAAAAAAATTTTGCTTTAAGCAAACAAGATTACACACTGATTGGGATAGGTATAAGGAATTAAGAAATTTCACTCTCTTCTCTATACGTCGTGAAAAAAGGGCATATTTTGACAACCTGTTTAATTCCCATAAATCCAAGGATTTATGGAAGGGTCTAAATAAACCTCAGTCCAGAAAGCAAGAAATAAGTACTTTTGTTCTCTTTTTATTAATAATGAAGTAGATGATGACCTATTAGAATATTATAATAATTCAACACTACCTAATTTGCATGGAAACAAACTAGCATTTGATTTTATAACTGTCAGAGAATTTAATAAACTACTACATAATATCAAATCTAATGCCATGAGTTTTGATGCTGTGTCAATCTCCATGCTGAAGAACTGTAGTCTGCATATTGATAATTACATTATGAACCTTCTAAACTGTTGTATTCAAAGAAACTACTTTCAAACATCTTGGAAAATTGCAACAATTAGATCACTTTGTAAAGTTGCACAAGCTCAACAATTTTCTGATTTAAGGTCTATTAGTATTCTGACTACGATATCCAAAATTCTTGAAAAGGCTATCTGTAATAGAAATAAATAAGAAAGGACGCCGGCCTATTTACGGAACAATTTATTTATCTGTTCCAAGTTCCCAACTTCACAGCTAGAGGACGCAATGTTCATTATCAATGATAAAAACTCGTTAAAAAAAGTCAAATTATGTTATTCGAACATTTAAATCATACTCTGCACGAAATTTTAACAACAACAACAACAACAACAACAACAACAACAAAAGCAACAAAAGCAACGAAAGCAACGAAAGCAACGAAAGCAACAAAAGCAAAAAAAGCAACAAAAGCAACAACAACAACAAAAGCAACAACAACAGAAGCAACAATAACAACAAAAGCAACAATAACAACTGGGGTCCTTTCTTATTTGTACCCTCAGTACCCTTTAGAAAACAATGAAATGGTGGACCCTTGGCAAAAACAACAAAAGTACCTGCTTCCCTTGACAAAAACACTTTTAGTCAGGTTTTTAGTTTTGTTTGATTTATTAGAGTGTTATTGCCTAATTAAAATATTTTATTTTATGAAATAATACATTATTTTTAAAATGGTTAGTTTATCTTAATAACCTGTAAATGTCATTTTATATTTATTATTATTATTGCACGTTCCATACTAATTTTAAAACAAAACCGGTCCTGATATTTATTTCGACATAAATCTATGTAGCTATTTAAAATCTTTGCAATTACTCATTTTTCAATAAATTTCGGGGTAGTAGCAGTATTCCAGGTAGCAAATAGGGTAATAAACATAGATTATGTGTCATTAGGGATGTTTACTCCCAAATTTAATACAAAGGGATTATTTTTCTAACTTACAAATTGAATTTAAATTGTCCACTTTCTCGAAATGGTTAATAGCATATAAATTGATTAAATTACAAGAAATAAATATAATGAAATATCGAGAGATAATTGTACTTTTTAATTTGTTTATAGATGGAAAATTATGAATATTCTTTTTTTATAATTTTTAATTATTAATCCTTTACTGCTACTAATTGAAACCCATTTCAAGTATGTATTATATTAATAATGAAATTAACAATAAAGATAAGTAATCTACATTAAAACACTGCCGATGTAAATAAAACATTAAATGAAATGATTCATTTGCCCACGAACCTGTTGACTAATGAATAAAAGATTATTATTTAAAAAATATTGGTTATTTTCTGTAGGAAGTCACATCCACAAACTCCAGACCTAATATAGAAAAGGTTGATGTATTTTGAAATAAGTTAATTTAAACATTAAATCATTTTGATGATTGATCACTTGCAGTGCAGATGTTATATCTTACCCACATCTTGTAAAATTTAATTTAAAGCAAAGATGAAAAAAGCATCCCCTTCATATAACAGTCAAACCTACTTTTTTAATAGCAATATCTAAACCTAACCGCCTCTTATGAGTTCTTTTCATCATTTTCACATTATACTTTTTTTTAAATCAATTTGTAATGTCTAGTTTTTTTGACAAATGTTAAGAAGCAAATGGAGAAAATGTTGAGGATATTCTGTAATAATTTCTAGTTCACTATGATTATAATTTATTTATTTGAATATACAATATGTTTGTTATCAAGAACAATAATTATAGGCTCCATATAACAATTAATATGAAATTTACATATTTATAATAAACTATTATATTTTTGACTAAATAAATTGATATAAAAACATATTTGTCTTTCATTTAATTCAAATGTAACAAACTAAATAAATGCATAACATTATATATCACCATTATTCCATTCATATGTTTACTTTTAAATCAGTTTCCCATTAATTTATTTAAATGCAGTTATGAAAGAGACCTTGGATTAAATAAATTAAAAGAAAGAGGGAGATAAATGGATGTAATCTCTAATTGAACCAGAGTTGAATGGCCATAAAGTAGGGGACCCTCTTCCTGGATTATGATAAATATATATTTTTGTTTAATACCATGTTTACAGATTGATTTAAATTGAATCAATAATGAATTATCAAGAAAACACAATGCGTAAGTATTTGTAAAGTTATATACAATATTTTTTTTATTGAACTACATACGGCAGAATTCAAAAAAAGCAGGGCATTTGGGTTTTTTTTTTTTAACTGAGTTTACAAATCTAAATTAAAGCAAACAAAATTTAATAAAAATAAATATGTATCAACAATGAAGTTATAACAACATTAATTTTGGGAACGCGCTATTTAAGTATATACGTAGATATTAAACAATTTCTGAAAACTAGCAACACCGTCAATAAAAATTAAAACTATATCTATATTTTTTTTTAGTGAAAATCCGAAGTTGATAGAAATTCTTATTGAGAAAATAAAACAACTCTAAATTAATCCTACATATTAGTCGAAACAATGAAGCAAAATCGGAATGCGGTTTTTTACATTCGCTTGCAAACATTATTTGTATCATTCCCCCGTAATTTCCGGGTCATACAAACCGGAAATTGCATGGCTTCAGCCAAAAATGCATTTGAGAGGCCTCTTGGATGATTTCAAAACTTGTTAAATAAGTGTCAGAACTAGCCCAGATCGGGTTCTCGAGGATTTTCGAGGTCGCTGATCACGATTATGATGTCTAAATTGACCCACAGCCGACCTAGAGCTCAGGAACGTCGACGAACGTCATCTTCGTGGGACTCTCCCAAAATTCACGCGGGGAAGGAGGGCAACTAGGCGATCGGGGTTTTTTTGGGTCGCTGAATCCAAATATGGCATCGGCGAATACCCCCCGGACACCTGGTGCGCCCAAACCTCGACCTGGACGTCATCTCCGAGAATTTTCCTCACAACAACAACGAAAATGATTGAGCGGAATTTTTGGGGCGCTGAGTCTAAATTTCACGTCGAAAACGACCCCCTGAACACCTGGTGCACCGGAACTTGCCCCTAAACGTCAT